GTGCATTAGTATTGTCTGCACGCTCACATCACTTCCCTCATTAGATAAGGTATGTAAATAATGCAACTTCTCCTTACACGAAATATCAATGTTTTTTTTATTATCACTTACATAAGTAAGTATGGTGAAACTGAGCGTTTCACTTTTTCCTTTACAAGCCCTTTCGTTTTCGACAAAGAAAATTTATTATAATCTCGGTGTTAAAATGAAAGTTAGCACCCAACATTACCAGCCTCGTCTGTGAACCAAGCACATACAAAACATTGTACAGATTACCGATTGTCTCCACTTATATGTCACTCCATGTCAAGAAACGAAATATTTTGCCCTTTTGTGTTATAGTAACACTCTACACAGTTTTTAAAACAGACGGTGGGGTGGTTTGGTTGGGGTGTTAGGTATGGGGGGGGGTTGGAGGGGGGGGTTGGTGTGTTGGTTGGGTGTTAGGGGTTCATAATAGGAGGGGGGAGGTGGGGAGTTGGGGGTTTCGGGTTATGTTTGGAAATGGTGGGCGAGGGGGGGGGGTGGTTGGAGGGGGTGGGGAGGGGGGAGGGTATGAGGTGGCGAGGAGTGTAGAAGTGGGGATTGGGGGGATGCAGAGGATTAGCGTTTTGAACATTCCTTATTTGAAAAAGGTCACTATGAATATTTTCAAATGCCCAACGATTAAAGCAATCAAAAGATGGAATGTGCATGTGCGGGAAAACCAACCCTAAACTGAACGTCGTCCAGTTATACACGAACGCGATACCGTTATGAACCACACTCTTCTCACAAGGGAGCTTGAGAGATTTGCAGCAATGATTTACTGGGATAATCTGTTCGTCCTTTTTGGTGTATAGTTACAATACATATTATCTTTTATTTATGGTGTGCTGTGTGCTCTGTGACTATGGCAACCCACATATATCCGTAATTCTACATGAATGATATCTAAACGCTGCCTCTATTGACGAAGACAAGTTTTGATTGGTCTTAATCGTCTAAAAAGATTGAGTATTCACGAATGCTGTAAGTTCTGTATCAGCAGCAAGCGAGATTTGTATCTGGCTGAAGAAACGAATCTTTCATCCACAACACAAAGAATATAGATGGCAATAATACTGATAAGTATTTAATGGTGGATTGACCTTCCTCGCACACCACCGCTATCTTTCCCCACCACCCCCCCCATAATCACAGCGAGGCCATCCTACCAGGGATCATCCTTGTGAGGACAACTCGTTATCACGCCTGGATAAATAATAGATTGGTGTGAGAAGCTTGAGTAAACGGAGCACAGACCACATAGTGCAGCTCAATAAAGGGATCCACCAACTCTATGTGACATAAAAAGCGAACGCTTGAATTGCTTGTTTGAATACATTAAAGCTGACGGTACCTGAACATTGCTAAACCACTATGAAGTACTTGTTCCTGGCTCTAAAACAGTAGTGTGATTCTAACCATCTAGTTTCCATTGTCCACACTATCATTTTTCTTGTGGCCTCTGATGGCTAACCTTTCGATCACTTGTTGTTCAGACAAGCGAGAGAATAAAGTGAGGGACCCCCCTGCACTCAGCCCAATCAATAGTTCCTCAGTCCAAAAACGCACAGGAATTATGAAAGGCTAAACCATTTTTTCTATGAGACGGCCACATGTTTGTGATCCGATTTGGGTGTCACAACATTTTATAGAGACATGTTCACATGATTAGGGTAAAAAAAATGTGGTATATTTATTCGATAATCTCGGGGTCTTGCTCTATTTGTGTTGCCATGGGGACGAGGGGAAACTAGGGGTCATCATTCAGGGTGGTGGACAGTTAACACCCACAGGCCCATCAGTTTACAAGAAGACCTTCCTTATTAGTCTCTACCCATAAGAAACAATTTTTTTAGGGTGATCCGAACTATCTTGGAGAGGGGCAGTTACTTTTTTCGAAACCCAGAGGGACAATATTGGTGGCATTTAAATCCTGCCACTACAATCGTATTCCAGATAAGTTGCAATAACCAATTAAGGGAAGAGCTATTTATACGCTGTGAACTTTAGTTAGTTGAAGGTAAATTCAGGTTGTTTGGTCGGTAGTAACGGGTGAGTGACACCCAAACGTTATACACCAAGAAGGAGGATGTGGGCATTTGATATCAATCTATCTCCGCAGTACACTTTTCCACTTAAGATATGAAAGATTAAGCTTTGTCATTTTGTTTATCCATTATGATAGTCCAAATATCAATTCAATAAAACTTTTTATTATTGTGGACAGGGCATTGAGCCTTTGTCAATTTACTCATCTCGATGTAACCAAATCCCCAAATAGATATAAGTCTTTGTGTTATATCAATATTCCAGTTCGAATAAGCTGACATTTTGCCACGTGGATGATTATGATGGGATTTTCTGTGTCAGACCACCGCAATTTCTAAACCATAGTTTATGTCAATGCGATAATTCCTCTCTGTGCTGCGTCCGCGGAAAGAACCAAATTAGTGACACGTGACTGTGCTAGGACTTTGCATGGCACTCCAAAAGAAACCTCTAAGCCAGTCAGGGATGTGTCTCAGAAGTCTCTCACAGGACATGAACGGTACAAAAACTAGGTCAACTCCAAGGATCCACGCGAGGTAAAGATCTACTGATTGTCATGTATTTATTCAAAATATCGCGACCAATTCAGGTCTTAGAGGGCTACAGATTACTAAATTAGTCAAACTGGTGATCTCGGTACGTTAGCATGACTCACACACAGATCATCTTCTAGCACGCTACAATCATTGACAGCGTTTGCAAGAGAATACTGTAATTCTACGGCATGAATTATAGTTCACATTTTTAGTGTTGTTGTCCTGGTTATACTAACAAAAAACACTGACCTCACAATTTCCCCAACTTGAGACATTTAGACAAGAAACAGGCATTTCACTTTTTATTTTAGTTGGTGTGAGGCCATAACTGAGTACTGTCTGTATGAGGGTTGGAGGATCGAGAAAGAAGAATGAGTGGACTAACCAATTAGTCCCAAAATCTCTGCACATACACATATCAATTCTTTCTCTGAGATCAACGTGTAATCATGATAGTAATTTAAGCACATAATTAGCCTAGTACTGTATTGAGTAGATGCTATCCCATCAGTGGATAACTTCACAATTTCTACACTACGATTTAAATATGAATAAAAGTAAAAATGATAAAATTAAAATGTAACTTATCATTTTGGAAATGATTACTACTTTCTCTCTCACTCCGAGACCCGGTTTTTATGGTCCTCACTCCTCTGCGATTACATGATGTGTTAATCTGCCTCTGCTATGCGAACGACTTAACAACCCACAACTTACAATACGTCTCAACTCTTGCCATTTTATTCGAGCATTAGCCAGTGTATCAAGGGGGGGGGAAAATAATAACAAGGACTCCAGTCATTGGATGTCAAATAGTACATAGATGGGAGAAAAACTCAAGGGTGCATAGATGATCCAGACTAAAAAAATGTTATTGCTCATAATTTTATCATGTGTATTTTCCGTACCAGGCTTAGTCCCAATAAGAGTAAGCCATATCTTATGCATACTTTGTTGTGTGTGTTCCAGAGTAGATAAAGAAAAAACCTATGCAGACATGGGGAGAACATGCAACATAACTCAGAATGACCCAGTACCACTCGGTAGTTGACCTCAGGACCTTCTTGCTGTGAGGAGAGCGCAAACCACTCAGCTGCAATTGCTTGACTTGTAATAATAGATGTGATTCAAGTTGAGATAGGGTGTCAATAACAGTCAGAGACCAGACACTAATCAATAAATATTTACCATTAACATGTCGTCTGGCTTTTAGTAACAATGTAAATATGTTCTAAACTACTTACAATCTTCAAGTATAAAATAAATACTTACAATCTTCAAGTATAAAATAAATACTTAACATTGATTACAAGTGAATTAATATAATTGAAGATTTAATAAGTTAAACCTAGATCCGCAGTGGGCTTCCAAGGGTTGTAGAGAATTTATAGAAACATGAAACAGAAAGTTAAAATACACGAACACTAAATGGGAGAGAAATTAAAATAAAAACATCTTGACCTAAAAGTTAGTTATTAATAGTTCATGACACAATGGTCTTTTGAAGTGCTGCTAGAACAGGGATGTTCCACAGTATGGTATACAATCATCTTTCATTGGTTCCATACTTTTTATAACAAGAGATTTAAAACACTTGTTTCCATGGAGATTGCTACATGTACTGCCATTGACATCTTAAATGATTTTAAATCCCCATAAAACTACAGTAAATGTTAGGTACAATGAGATTGCCTCGGTCAGGTTAGATTTCTCTGATGGTGTTTGACAGTTTTGGGCTGATGAGAGAAGTCTGTAGGAATAAGATAAATAGTTGCATTGTTCCAAGTGTTCTAATTAACAGATTCGGGTATAATATTTATACTGTAAAAACTGAACATTGATTTGCATGTGCAGAGCCTGGGGCGTGTGACTTGTGGCAGTTAGTTTGGTAGCGGAGCACATCTGAGCAGCCCGCTGAGAGGAGACTGGGAGGAGAGAGGGCCGAGCGTGATGTGAAAGTCCATATAAGGCTGCAGACGAGGAAATTACCAGAAGGGAACTGATGTAAGCACAGAAACCTTGACTCACAACTCTACTTCCTTGGGAAGCAGAGCCAGAATCACTCCAACAGAAACAGATCTGCTGGGGTTTTTGTACAAATTTTACATTTGTTACTGTAAAATAAAAACTTGTATATAGTGTGTATTTGTTTTTATATTTGTGTAATTAACACACAACTATACATGAAAGTTAACATACCCTTTCACCTGTCTGCATTATTATATTATATATATTATATTATATATGCTCTGGAAATAGTGTCTTGCCTCATCCTTAGACATAGAGCAGCAACTTCCTGACTGCATGTTTATTTCAGGAAAATCTTTAACCTTCCTGTGACCAGCCATTATGTTCCCAAGAGCCTCACGTTTAACAATGTAAGCAAGGCCTGCCATTGGTTTATATAGAGTATAAAAGTGTCACCACATCATAGAATAGCATGATATCAAAGTCACATCACAGCTATTGAAGAGGTGACCTAAGCCAAAATAAGAGACAGGCTAGTAAACAAAAATAGGTCAAACCGAAATGAATGAACGTGAGTTAAAAAACCATATAAGATTTTTAACTATAAGTCACGTTCTTATCAAATAAACAGAGATACTACATAAGGGGGTCTTTCTTTGTCAGTAAATACTATTGTCCTCTCCTCAATGCGTAAAGCAGAGCTACAGTGAAGCCTTCTCACATCTTGGCGAACACTGATATGCACTTCCTCCCCTAACTTTGCCTCCATTAAGCAGAGGGCAGCTGGACTGGGCACTTCAAATGCCTCCTTGTTTGACGCTGTTCAGCCCTGAGTGAAAAGAGGCCTTTGGATCCAGTGGAAGCTAAGGCTCACACAGCACTACAGTGTCCACAGTGGACCCTGCGGGAGTTTACAGCCCTCTGTAATAACGTGAGCATAAAGTGAGCATAAAGTGAGTATAAAGTGAGCATAAAGTGAGTATAACGTGAGCACATGAAGAAGCTCCGGGGGCTCCGGGGGCTCCGGGGCAGACAGAGGTGGGGCCGCGCACACGCGCATAACGGAAACTAACTGAACAGTGAATTATCCGAGTTTGGGATGTGACTCATGACCCACTGTAGCATGGCTAACTGTGGGATGGAAGCTGAGGCTAACGCCACAGCCCCGGGCACTCTCAGTCTGGGACACAGGGACGGCTACAATAGATGTGGAGGCTCTGCCCCGAGGGACAAATCCCAGACGCAGCGCGCACAAAGCAAACAGACAAAAGACGCAGCAATGAGAGGAACTAAAACACTCATCTTACCGTCTTCGGCATCTTGGCGTATTTGTGTCCAAATTAAGTAGAGAAAAGTTCGTAAAACTGAGGACCAGTTATGATACCGAGAGAAAACTTTTTCCCATCAGAACAACGGCGCCAGTCGCAGCTTCGGGCTGTGCGTCTTCAAAGAGCCTCTTCGGTCCTTTGCTTTGCCGGGTGGGTGTTTTTTCTTTGTTCGACCTGGTAAAACTGGACTGGAGCCTTATTTCCTGCTAACGGTACCCCCGACTGCAAAACCACACCCAGCGCGATGACAGGACAAACCAGTGACTCCGCCCGCCGCTCATCTCCCCATCATGGCCGCGGCCCACTGACCACAGCCCGCAGGCGTGTGAGGAGGAGACACATGGAGCAGACACATGGAGGAGGTCATGGAGGAGAGGCATCATGAGGCTGTATCAACCGAAGGAGCCCCACGGAGATCTGTGCTCTCACAAACCATACCAGTATGAGTACTAGGAGGCATCACGGTGGCCTCAGCACTGTACTAGAGCATAACACCCATGTACTGTAGTGGTCTCCCCTGAACAAAGCGAAACCCCCAAAGGCGCAGGACACGGTGGTTGTGCAGCTTTCTGTAGAGGAAACAACGAGTCCAGCTTTGCCAACAATAACATTTTGCATACAATTTTCATATTCACATTTGCAGCAGAGAAGTAGCTTTTATTAATGTTTTATCTTTAATAAATGTACAAATCATTTAACAAACAATAGTGATAAAGAATTACACCAGTTTGACAGTAGCAGTGCTTTATTAATGGAGATAAACACAGTTGTCATAAAGACTTACATTGTATTTGAGTCTTCAGGCTCAAAAATACTTTTTTAGTGTATGTGCATATTTTGATCTATAAAAGCTGTTTCCAGTCAGTGATTTACAATACCGCAAAGCGCATACTTTCAGATAGAGGTCTACTAAACATGTTAACCAACCAGATTTAAATTACTTTTAATAATTGAGTTAACCTGAGTACAAGATTGTGTTTAATCGCACATCCAGATTTCTTTTTTTTTTTTTACTGCAATTTTGACACTACGCATTACGAATGATTAGACCACCGATTTCAATCCAATTATGTGAACAGTCGGTGAAATCTGTACACTCAAAACAAATATTCTCTATTAAAACTTTAAAATTATACATATAGTTTGTTCATTTACATTAAATAAAGCTACCAGTTACCAACTGGCATCATTTTTACACATAAACCTGAACAAATATGGTTCATTACTGCTGCATGAACTACAGTGAATAAAATTACAATTTAAGTGATCGGACAGAGCGGTCATAACTCACAAATGATACATCTCAAAGTGACTTTTGAGAATCAGCAGCTGACCGTTTGAGACTAAAGAGATTTTACCGCCATGTCCTGTAGGAAGGTAATTTTTACACTATTGAGCAGCAAAAGTACAGGATTATCTGTATCACCTTCACTGCACTACAACCTGTGCATTCCTTTGAGATTTATTATTTGATAAATCATCCAATAGCTTTGGCATATTTTTATGCTAAAGATTTTAATAACTACTCCCATTAAAATAGAATAAAGCCAACATTGCAATATACCAAAGGTACCAAAGGTGCACAGATAACAACACAATATGGAACGACATACTAACCATTAGTTTACACAATAGTTGTGATGAACACAGAGGACATGCTTACCGCTGTACCCAGGGAGGAGTGCTCTCGCAGCACATAAAGTCCCTGTAAAGAACTACTGTACCCAGTAAGAAGAAGTACATACCAGTGGGCTACTCCCAGTGACACACAGTGTCACAAACATTATGGCATCGTTTTTTCCCCTAGTTAAATAAAACTATAGTAATATTTTACATTTAAAGTTACATTCAAGTTATAGATACAATTTGTATCAACAAGCAAAAGTCAATTCTTGACATTTGTGGCTTAGCTGTTTGCGGCACTTACCATGAAATCTGAACAATCAACTTTAGTAGCTATTCAAGTCACACAACAGACACTGCAAGACTTTTAAGATTAGTGAGTGGAAATAGTCCACCACTGCCCAGGATAAACAGTGTCATAGGGGACTGCTTTTGTGGTTTTAGTTTGCACTCATTTGCAATACACGCCAATCTCAAGGCAGAGTTCACTAAAACTGCACGCAAACCTTAAGCCAAATGCCAGAAACAACCTTGACAGCAGCCTTGCAATCTGATTGTTTCTCATGTCGAAACATTTAGGCAGTTTGTTTCACCTTCTCATGAACAGACAGTAGGCTAAACGCAGCCACGTCTTTTTTCATGAAAAAAACTACATCAGCACAGCCCAAAATCCATTTGGGCATCACACATTCAAGCATTTTATAGTCTGTATACATCTGCAATTGAACCTAAATACATTGGAGAATCAATAAAGAGGCAATGCTGAGCTAGCACTAAAAAGGTAATACCACTCAACACAAAATCCCATAGAAAATAGCAACAGCCTTTTTAGTGCTAAACACATTGTGTGTTTTACAATAAACATCATTATTAAAACAAGTATGTGAAAAGATTTTGCATTATCAACCTGACTTTACATTACTTTCTTCCCAATTTAAATTTCAATGTTAAAATTTGCACATAAGTGACTGGAGTATTGTTAGGTAATAATGAGAAAAAATATATCTCTGGATGTGCCAATGTTTACATTAGTTGCTATTATTCTGGATTTTTTCTTTTTTTTGAAAGATACTCCATTCTATTTCTTCCAAAATTACCAATTTGGAATTTAAAACATAACCCCTAATAAAAATCTGTATATTCATTTGTTGATAGGCCACCATCAGTCTAAATTTATATTGAGCACACAGATGAGTAAAGTACAGAATAATTTCTAGAAATGTCCAAATCTGTATATCAGCATCTCAACGTAAAACATTAAAATCACTGCAAGTTTAATGAGCTTTTTTTTTCTTGTGGGTTTAGTAAATTACAAAATGATTCATCCTGAGAGCAATTTGCTGAAAGGCACAGCCCAAACCCAAGATATCTACACACAAATGCTGCGTCTTCTTCAAATCAGCCCCTGGAAAAGGCTGTAACTAATCTGATACATGCTCTAGATATTTAACAAACTAAAATGTCTAAAATAATTCACACTCAACAGCCGCCTAAATAAACCCTTCATCTCGGTGCAAGATTGTTGTGCAAAGTGTTGAGGATTTCTCAGGTCCCGACACAGACAAGTCTTACACTTCACACATGTCGGGGAGGGCTGCACAATAAAATCAGTCATCTACAAATTGCAGTTTTGGCAGAATTAGAAAAATATGTAATTATTTAAATAATAGCATGTCCTCAATAAAGAGCAATCTAATTTGCAATCTTGTTTAGACGTTTACAAACATGGTGTCAGGTTTGCAGTTAATTCTTTTCCACAGTCGTGCAGGAACTTGTAATGTCAATCTAAAAAGGAAATCACCAACTTTTCCTCTTGCAAAATCAGAAATGTTATCTGATCATGCAACCACTCTATGTTATAGAACAAGCCTGTTAAATATAGTACAACACCGGTGCCAGACTAAATAAATTGTCAGCCAACATCACCGAGTCCAACAATGTGTAAAATTGCTTAGAATATCTTACAATTAAATAGCACAACCAATAAATACTCCATAGTTAAATCAATACTATAATATATGTATTCATTTGTGACACTTCATTAAATTAAAATGTAGCCATGTGAAATACTGGTAAAAATATTTTTGGCATTATTTAGCAGCTTTAAAATGACACTGAAACAATGGCTTTTGTGTGATTTTATGTACATTAATACGTGCAGACCGAACACAAGTCAAATCTCTTTTTTGGCTCGCTTTGTGCACCCTTTACTAAAATAGTTTTGTTAAATGTTGAGAAAATATATCTTTAGATGATGATATAGTGCTTTACATTTAAAAGTGTAGAGCTTCAACTACACAGATTTTCACTCAAACCAATGACAACTGTGAGGTCATTCAGATATAAGGCCATTGACGTCGTGGTTCATGCTGTGAGGCAACACTCACGTTCCTTATCTTTTATACAGCAGAGGCAGACCTCAAACCAATTGGAAAAAGTCAATAACAAAAAACCTTAAAATGTTGTTTATAACACATTCACAGGATCTGAACTACAACTTTACCGAAAAGTGAGGAAACTGTAAGGCAAATACTTATTAGCGAGTTGTGCTTGAATGGCGCCGGCATCGTTAATGATATTGTAGTCAAAATAAGGATTGGGTAGAAAGCAATCCTAGCACTTTTAATTAATACTTTGGGGCAATTTTTGGAATGGTGGAACAAGATTACCGGTAAAATTCTGTGTGACTCAGTTCATGTGACTGTGATATTATGCAGTTTACTCAACATGTTACATTACAAGTGCATTATTCTTCATACAAAATGTAGACGTCTACAGTGAGATGTATCATGGTATATCATACCATTTTGACGTCACATACTCAGTGATGTCATTTTATTTTCTCTTAAATAGATGAATCTTGACTCCTGAGGGCCACAGTTGCAAATGCGGCAACATCAAATAAGTGCCTACGTTTTTAATGGTACTTTTAGTTTTGAAATAACTGTTCATACATTTTTGAGTGACATTACTTAATTGCATGACCTCAACTTTGTGACAATGACGGCAGCGAGTTGTTGTGGGTCTGTGAGATGAGGGTTCTTCTCCATGACAGAGTGAACAATATAAGCGGGAAAAATGTTACAAAGGTTTCTATATGTTTGGTACTGGTGGTCTGGGATGGCGTACCGCTCATGATGCTCTCCCACAGAGGCCGTTTCCCAAGGAGAGTTCCAAATTTGCTCCATTTTGTCAGGCATACTGCGAACCATCACCCTCTCGCAACATGGCATCAAGCTATTACTAAGTGGGTATGAGTGATATCCAAAAGACTCGTTCCCACACGGCAGAGGGTCCCAGCTTGCATGCTGCTCACGACACAGTGGAGGCCGCCTTTGTCTCAAAGGATGGCTGTCGTACAACCTAGAATCTGAAATGCTATCCATCCGGGTCATGCCAAGGGAGCGTGTGGGCTGTGAGGAGAGAGGTGGGAGAGACGTTTGAGTTAGAGGATAGTCTCCAGGACAGCTTGATCTGGCTCCAACAGCAGCATGTTGGATATGTAGGGCGTGATGAGCCGCTTGCTGCTTACATGGACCTTGTTTAGGGTCCTCAGGCCCATAACTTTGAACCCTAGTGAGAGCCTCATGACGAAAGCTGTGTGCAAATGCCTGCATTCTGCCTTGCGCTGATGACTGGTGCTGGCCCTTCAGACTGTCGTCCAGACTGCTGTCCACTGAGCTCTGATACATGTCTCCATAAGACGAGAAAGAATCACTGTTCGAGTGGCTGAGGCAGGATTCAGCGCAATGGCTGAGATTTCTCTGATACATACCATGTTCATGCTCCATGCTACAGAAACTGTCGACATTATGCATGCTGCTCATGCTCATGTTTGAGAAGTCACTGTGCAGTGAATAATAGCCGTGGTCACTGACAACTGAGTCAAACTTTGGGAACTGGTCCGAGTAAGTTATAGATGCACCGTGACTGTTTGTGACCAATATTGGTGGATACTGTACACTGGACGTGTGCTCCAAGGAACTGCGTCCAAACTGCAAAGAGCCGGGCACAGGGCTGCTGGCAGAGCGCGTGTTCAAGGCCCCAGCTGCATGGCTCTTGGCTGGTTGCATTGTGGGAACGCTGAGAGCAGTCACAAGAGAAGGCACCGAATTTGTCTCTGACTTTTTAATCAGAGAGAGTGCCTCTTGAGGCTCACAGACCACTGAGCGAATACTGGGGTCTGATTGGCGTTTGGGAGCCACACGTTTAGCCTCTGAGCAGCAGTCCCCCTTCAAAGCTGCTGTACCATATTTTACTAAAGCTCCTTCACTCATTGTCTTCACTGCTGACAGTTTAGCAAAAGCCCGAAGTTCGTCAGCCACAGAGCGGACTGGCTGGTTCACGCGCTCTGGATGATAGTACTTGCACTTGTGTCCATATGTGCACTTTTTACCTTGAAGAAAAAAACGGGCACAATTACTTTTCATTTCTATTACAGCAGTGTTTACATCAAAAATTACTTACCATAAGGACATGGCTGCTTTTTATGCTCTGGAACCACAGGTCGTTTGCGCAGAAAATTTTCTAAGCTAGGCCCATGTCTTCCCAATGGATCATCAGGTGGCATAAATCTAAAAGTGATTGAAAAAAATTCATTTACATAGATGCTTATAAAATAACTATAAAGGAAATTGTCGCTTTAAAATGCATAATTATAATTCATTGTTTACTTACTTGTCATTGACAAAAGAGTACATAAGGAGACGCTCCTCAATAAACTTCTTCCATTCAGGTTTTTCATTTTGTAAGTCTCTGTAGTTATCATTCGACACAATAATTCCATCAGAATCATAAGCCAGCTTCACTATGAAGCGATCATCGTAGCACACAACTCTCCTGCCTTGAACTCTACGGGACGGGGTGAAAACCAAGATTTTTTCTTTCTCTAGTCGTCGTAATATTTCTTGATCTACAAAAACAAAGTGGGACCAGAGTGAAAAAATGTCAAGTTTCCCATATCAGTGTAATAATTTGTTAAGGAGGGTCCCATAGCCAAATCACATTATCCATTATAAAAAGTGTAAAACACATTACTTCACCTGTAATGAGGGCGTCCGGTCTCGATTGCTCTTTTCTCCAGGCCGGGACAAAAACCGTAATATCTTTGTGGCCTTTCTCTCTAAACCATTCAACAGCAAGTTGAATGCCACGGCAGGAGAATACTTCTTTGTTTCCATGGCTGCACACAAAAATATAAACATGATTCACAATATCAAAGCACACCACAAATATTTGCATTGGTTTATGACCTACCTCATGGCAACATTTGACCCATCAATCACAATGGGTCTAAGGTTGTCATAGACCTCGACTGACTCTTCTTCTAAGGAAACCTCTGGGCTGGCGTTGTCTTTGGCACACGGCGAGCGTGATACCAATGGAGAAGGATTGTTGAAAGTTTGAATTTCATGATCCACCTTGTTCCCTAGCCTTACTAATTCTGCTAAAATATCATTAATCAGAGCAGCAGCACCCAACTTGTTTAGCACAGCTTCCACTTGGTCACCCGAGTAACCTAGTTTTAAAGCAAACTCTTTCTTGGCCTGGTACTCTTTTTCACAAACTTTAAATCCTGGTACAGTGCCGCTTGTGTCATCCTCTCTACCATCTTGTACTGTACTACTCTGGGAAAAACTGGGTCGGTCAAGGCATGGTGAGCGGCAAAGTAGGCGATGAGGCTTGGTAACTGCAAGTGGGTCTCTCTTTCTGCAGCTGCTGCTGTTCACCTGGACCCTGGGGCATTGCTGACCATCAGTTTCACTCTCCGAGCTGCTCCCATCCTCCGACTCGTCAGTAGTTGGCTGGGTCTCGCTTGAGTCAATGTTGTCCTCCCTGCATGGGTGTTTTTCCATTTTGAGTTTCTCCACCATGGACCATGTTGTCATCACGTTTGTCTTGACACCCCAGACTTCCACCCCATGTTCCTCCACCAAAACCAGGGAACCATGTTAAGCACTGGATTTACAGGCTCCGCTTAAGATGCCTCCACAGTGATCAAACTAAATAAATCTGAAAAACACATTGACAAATTTCATTTTATTATATTATCCTTCTTTTCACAATAAAATATCCAAAACATTGAATAGATGTGAATTTACCATTTACATCTATGGACCCTAGACAGAATCGCAGTGCTGCTACTTGTATAATTAAATCCATCACAATCAAAAATGCTGTGCATGACACATTGAATCACAAAATGATCAATTAATAATTGATAAGAACTGATGTAGACGTTTACTTGGTGATACACAAATGAGTGACGCTGGGGCGTGAGAGTCGTGCACTGCACCAAACCTTTCAAAAACTCTGTAACATACTATGTCTTTGATAAGAAATTTTGGCAACTGCGAATTCTGTTTTAATTTTAGAAAACAACTCAGCTAAAACAAAGAAAAAAATAAAATACAAAAGACTCAGGTGCAGAGAAGGAGAAGATGGAATATGCCTTCAGTCTTTCAGAGGGTAAATGCATCCAGCACTGCGCTTCAAGAGGTGCAGCCCATGATGTTGGTTGCTTAGCAACACAGCCTTGTCATTGGCTAACTCCGTTTTTACCAGTCACGACTAACACAAACACGCTTGTCCCTCTTAAGGCAGGCACCAAAGCTAAAATGCTACTGCAAATCTACTCTCATGGCACTGTAAGAATTAAGAATTGTGAATGAATTATGCTTTGTGAATTTCCTAGAAAAATCTAAATAGCATTTTATTAGACACAACTGCGTATGCATGAAATCTGTTTTGGGTTTTTTTGCCGGGAGGCTGCAAGTAAAAAACAGCAATGATTTGAAGGTCAGGCAGTGTTCACTCCTCACTTTTACTCAGAGAAGAGTAAAAATAGATGTATTGTTAGGGAATATACACAAATCACTAATAAGAGTTTAATATAGGATTACATGTTTAAGGATGCACAATGCAGTCTGTCCCACCTGCAGATCACAGACATTGACAGCGTAGGGCCTTCAGATTGAGCATATGAACTAACCTGTGTAGCGCTTTCTTATAGCAACAAGTGCACCAGTTGCCTACTAGAAACATGTACCATTTGTCAAACTAAAAATCAAATGGATGATTAATGTGGGAACACACACTTAGGGCATTTGCCATTTGTTGGAAACGGTTCAATAACTTTACAACCATCTTCTTTATTTATGGGAATGATAAACCTTGACTTTTAAGACTTGCAGAGACGATTACAAACATCCGATTGGATAGACTGCCTTTCTACGATAAATAGATTTTACAATTACAGCACCGCGTTTTAAGCATGTACATTTTCTTCAATTTGTACTATACTGTTGCGATATAAACAAAAAATTGATTCAAGGTACACCACCAAATCCAACAAATTCAAAACATAAAACACATAAAACCACTAACTACATGCATTCGCGTCCTGATATTGTAGCTTTAAAAGATAATGTACAACGTCAAAACAAAAATAGAAACCAACAACCACAGGCGACGCACGACTTGTGAGACATATTCAGAAGTGCAATTCTATGACAGCACCTGATATAATACAGATAGTATTCTGAACTGAGACCATATTTAATATGAATCAAATCTGAAAACATTACATCAACATGTTTGACTACATTGGGCCTCTAGAAACGGGATGGCCAACCCGAAGCTAGCATCAATAACATCCATGTCAGCAGGTGGTAAATGTTATCAACAGACAGCTTTAGTTATATTTAATATTACCCATTTGAAGATATATCACCGTAAAGTCTTCATTTCGTTGGTTGATGAATTAAATTAACAATACTATTAGGAACTGTTTCCACCTCATTTGTGTCGTTACCCGATTGGAATAAAAAGTACTTTGCGCGTGCGCATCGGAATCTGCCATGTTTCATACGGCAACACTTCACGGACAAACATTACGTTCAACTCAAGCGTTGATGTGGACGATTATTATAATAAATGGAGCTAATAATGGATGTTAATAATTTGATGGAAAATTACCGTAGAAAGTAACGCATCGGAGTCATTTGAAATGGTGTGCCTTTATACTTTATATATATTATATATAAAAGCCAATTAAGGCAGGTCAGGAAGCGTCAGGTTAAATGAGTTTTGATATATAACGAATGGGATTATCAAAAAAGGTTTAGGCCTTAAATCCCTGGTCACCATGGGGCGAAACGTGCCAGAGTTCCAGAGCTGAGAAGAGCGAGGCTGCTATGTTAGCTGCTATGGATGGCTAATATTCTCCCGGTACATGAAACTTTGGCATTAACGGGCTGCATTATTGAAAAGCACGAACCAATGAACATAAGGCATCTGACTTGAATTATAGACTCGAGATGTTGCTAATCTCACCTTGTTGGCATCCTCTCCAAGATTGTGATGTTTTGCTGCCATTGCATTGACGCTGTCGCAGTTTGCTCAGGGTTGCCAGATACTAATGTGTTTTGGTTTTACAGTCTATAGTTTTGATGCGCTGTCTTAAAGATAGCAGTGTTCGAAAAGTAGCCCTGGAACATGACATTTACGTAAAACAAAGCTCAGTGTGAAGACTCAATTGTACAACTTGACTTTACAATAGACTTGCTTTGTGATGAAATATGAAAACTTAAAGGCATTTGCTTGTACATGCATATTAATGAATGCCAATAAAATGTAAAATAAATGCAAATATACACACTCTTTTTACTGGGTTTAATTTTATTAGGTGTAAGGCTATGTTTAACAGACAAAAGTAACAAATCTTCTATTAAAATTGTTTGAATCCATCCACTCTCATTATCATAGTGACTTAAACATAAAAACACATTTTCTGCCAAAAATTAGCAGAAAAGGTAACAACAAAACATTGATTTGATGCATTACTCAAACTAAATAAAAACTAATACAATCAAAGCTTAAAACTAAGTTGGAAGAGCCTGCAGTCCATCCCAAGCTGTGAGATGAGCTGCATTCACTTCCTAATGTGCAAAAATGAATTGCCCTGCTTGCTTACTGCACAAAAATATAGATATACATTTTTATTTAGTTGTTCTAGTATGTTGGCACACAATGAAGTTACTAAAAAACACGTTTTTGAACAATAATCAAGGCAATGAGGTGATATACAACATTGAAGACCAACCTCCAGAAATTTAACATTTTTGCAATACTCTTTAAAATCAAATCGCAAATAAGGGGAGGTGTGGTCACGTTTTACTTCTGAACAATAGCAATATTGCTACATAATGGTGGAATCACAATTTAAGTTTTATCACAGTGTATGACAATTAAAATAAGTTTAAAAGTCCAACACCATGTATTTTCTATATTGTCAGAAATTGTCAACACAGTCCCCATAGGGATTTAAGTTAGTACTTCAGCAAAGTGGAAGTCAAAAGTAAAATGTATTTATAATTTCAAGTTTGAAAATGTTTAGGGAATAGATTTTTGTGATCATTATTCAACATATAGTTGTACATCTTAAAGATGTGTAACTTTAAGAAAATATATATAATAATATAAAACAGTTATTATAATTGTTATGCCGTCACTGTTGAACATGACACTCTGGCTCTGGACTTGAAAATAATCGAGAAGATGTTGTGTCCGACGTACTAGAGCAATGACGCAGGGATTTGACTTTAGATGTAACAGCAGTTTTGGTATCAATTTGGGTTGGTTTCCGACTTCCACTTATACATTTGGGCAAAGCTGTAGTACAAAGACTCAAAGCCATTTCTGACTTGGTATGCCACTGTAATGCCTTTGCATCTCTCATGGGTACATGAGATTTTTCGTAAGATGAAGCCTTGCTTCCTCCCTTGTCGGTCAAAAAATATGAGGACAACGCCCCTCTGTGGTCTTTGCATCTGTCCAGCATGTTTAAGTCCATGTCTTCGTTGTCCAACGATCTACTTCTTCGATCCTCAGATAGTGGGGCAGGTAAAAATTGGCTAACTTTAGTAACACCCAGGTGTCGAGGGAGACTTGCAATTGCCCATGTATTACTTAGAAGATTCTGTTCAAACTCCAACATTTGATAGTCACATTCAGCAAAAGCATCCTTTTGCAAATAACTTTCTTCAAACTCTTGGTATGGAGAGGAAAGTTCCCCCTCAATGTCCATCTGAATTTGTTGATCATATTCACCTTCATTGTGCATGTTTACCACATCAAATGTTACTATGGCAGGTAAGGCCTCCATGTTAGGAATGAAGACTGAACTTGTCTCCATACCCTCGATATGGTTGTGTAAGTTGCTTATCAGTTGAGTGTGTTTAGTGAAGTCTTCAAGTGCTTGTGAGAAAGATACAGTTTGTTCATTGTCCAAATCCTCACTCACCTCAGTACACTGACTTTTAATGTTTCTGTATGGTAACGCCACTGGTTTGTTTTCTTCAAGTGGTTGCTCTTTAGGCTCACAGAATGTGACAAAATCTGGATCCGATGTGCTACCAAAGGATATTGCACTGTTCCGGTTTACACAGTTAGTATTCTGAGACTCTCCAGAAGAAGCACTTGTCATATTTTTGTTCAAATCCATTTGCATATTTAATCCCAGTTCATGCAGTCCCATTGTCTCTTGTGCCAGCTTTGAGAGTTTACTGCTTGATATTTCAACATTGTGAGTTCCATACAGCTCATCACTTAGTTTTAAACCCTGTATGTCAGATAGAAAGGCAGTATCTGTCAGATCCACTGACTTATTTAAATACTCAGACTCACCTGAACTTGAGAGCTGAGAGTTCTTATTATAATGTGGACTAATAAGAGTTTCATCTGGAGCAAAAAGTTCATAGAGTGCATCGCCACTGTAGCTGTCCCGCAGTAATCGGTCAGGCTGCAGCCTCTCAGTCTTTTCTTGACCATCCTCTGGCCCTGGAGTAGTTGACTCATCATAGCCTTCGTCGTTGTTGAGGACGGACTCTTGATGCTCACCCTGAGGGGTCAACATATCTGCAGTGGAGCCATCTGCTCCTGTATGCAGTGTGCTCACATCTGTATTGTGAGATCCTGTCAGGTCAGTGCTTATATCTGTGAGATCCTGATTATAAGCACAACACATTTCCTCAGATGGATTGTTTCCCCACATATTATCTGTGCAATCGTCAGAGTCATCACCCAAATCTTCAGGAGAGGCCATATCTTCACCGCCTCCCTGATAAGCTAGATAACAAGAAGACCTCTTTCCCATATTTCGACTGCGCTCCCCAGACACATTGCTGTCTGTGATGCTATCATCTTCTTGATCTGCAATTATGTCTCCACAGCCTGTAAGCGAGTCAAAGCTTTTTAATGAAGCTACATCTTCGAACATTACATTCAGTTGCTCGCATGAAGCTGCAGTGGCTTCAGATATAAGCGTAGGCTCAGGCACCATTTCCAGTTTTAAACATGGGTCACTTTGCACTCTGACCAACTCCTCACAATCGTTACTAACTAGTGCAACTACATTAATCTCCTCTATTTGATTATGACTGAGCTGATGACCCAACTCCGATTTTGAGCAATCATTCGTCAACACAATCTCCTCCAATTCTGAAGCTTCTATACATTCAGGACTAATTGTGTCATCAAAGTCAGGCACATCTGGTTCAGATCCCAGGCACTCTATAAGACGTTGTTCAGTGCATCCCTGAACAACAGGCACCTGTGTTTCATTCCGTGTTGAAGACAGTGCAAACATTTCTCCTTTATCAGTCCCATTTCTGTTGTTTCTGTGCTGTTTTATGCTTTGGAAAATACCTTTTAAACCCCTTTTCTGTCGAGGGAGGCTTAAAGATTTATGATTATCACAGCAGGGACTTACTTTGCTGTGACAACAGCTGTGGAGATTCCCTGCGACATCCCTTTGGCTGTTGTATACAAAGTTTCCTCCAGAGGTACAGTCACTTCTGTGATTGTCATCATTGCAAACTTTACTGAGACCATCATGCGTTTTGCTTTTAAAGATGGATTTTTTTGAAGACCACTTACTAAGATTTTTACGTCTTTCTGCAAAAAAGCTGGGAAATATGCAGATTGTTTTACGAACTCCAAAAAAAGTCAAGGCAGTTTTCCTCAACTTTCCAGATTTCTGAGCTTTTAATGTGTTTGATTCATGGGCATGTAGCTCCTCTGTGATGTCGTCAGACAGACTATGGTGCAGGCGATCAGAAGGAAGAAACTCCTTAGAGTCATTCAGTTTTTCATCTGTGATTGAGGATGCCATAGCCATCACTTTTCCTTCAGAGGGTCGACAGGTTAGCTTGGTGAGCAGCATAGAATGTCATCTCTCCCTCTAAAAAGTAAATAAAAATTAAGAAATTGCAGGTCAGCTCAGTTAAATAAAAACATTTTGACAGTTTATTGTCACTAGAGATGGGCATTACTCTTCACTTGTAAATTTATATAAATTACATAACTTGTTCGGGGAATATAAATATAATCTACAGATTATACTGTACGTTATTATATAGATAATTATAACCATTTTACATCAAATTTGAGACTAACGTAAATTTGAATGTTTGCATTTTCTTAACATGACCAGCATATTATTGGTTTACACCAACAATATATATCAATATACACTAAATATACATTATATAAAAACCCAAAGAAGTAAACACACATTACCAAGATTGGACGCATGTTTTTACGTAGTCACAAAAGGTTTTAGTGGACCCTTTGAAAAAAAAAAAAAAAGGGGTTGCAACGCACCAACTAACTTTGGGGCAAAGATTCTAAATGTCACAAATCTGCTTGCACCCAGATCATGAGTTTCATTTGTTTGCACTAAACTACAGCTAGCTGCAGCGGTGCTAACAAAGCGCAGCTTTAAACCGGGGGTAACATTACCTGCAGATGCGGCTAGCGATGGACAACTTGGATTGTCGCTACGAACACTGTGGACAATTCCTCCACTGGACCATGCGACATTTGTCTTATTGAACAGGTCACTTTAAGTGTAGCCACATACGTTGCGAAAAAAACTCCATAGTCAATTTGCCCGAATCCTTGTGTGGTTCGACTGTCGACGCAGGTTAGTGACGCAGCATGCCTGCGCGTCATTCTGAGAGAGAAAAAAAAGCACGATGGGAGTCGAGGAGGGGGCCGCTTGACATGATGACAGCGTTGCTCCCCTGTCTATAAATTGAGAAATCGCAAAAAAGACAACCAAATGGGACTGTGACCTAATACTATTGAAAGCTTGAGTGACGAAACCCTGTTGGAACACTTTTTGGTCTGAAGTTTCGCTTAAGGTGAGGAAAAACAACATTTTAATTGAGGCGCGGGAAAAAGTCAAGAAGCTAGCTTTTATATTTCCCGACGGCAAAATGGAAAGAAACTGTGAAGTACAGAAGCCAACGGGGGAGATATCCACACAAGAAATGGAAACCAGTGAGAACAAGGTTCAGGGTGCTGTAAATGTCAACGAGAACAGTACACCTGTTAATGCAGCTGAAAAGTCTATCCACAAACGGAAAAAAATTGATAGTAACGGGGACGGCGCCAAGAATGAGGCAATTAGCCTTTGTGATGTGCTAGCGTCACTGAAGGAGCTGTCCAGAAAGCAAGATGAAACTTTTCAGAAAGTTTCAGCTATTGAAGCAACAACGGAAAATACATCCAAACAAATGGCAAATCTGACAGCTACGGTGGCGCGGGTTGTGGTGGATGTTGACCGTCACGGGAAGAATATAAAAGATGTTCAGTCTGAAATTGTGAAGCTGAAGGAGGAGAACCGGCTTCTTAAAACAGCGGTGGAAGAGTGCAAGCGGTACAGTTGGAGATGGTCGCTAAAACTACATGGCCTCAAAGAAAATGTGAATGAAGATGTGAGGAAAGAAGTCATCATCGTCCTAGGGAAAGTCGCTCCCGGTTTGCAGGTTTACCTGGAGGATGGTGTGGATATCGCTCATCGTCTTGGCCCAAAGAGAACGGATGGATCCAACAGACCAGTCATCATCCTATTTGCTCTTCGCCGTATCCTTGATGCTGTGTGGAAGTGTGCCAAAGGCTGCAAATTTCTCCGCGACAACAAGCTTCGTCTCACTCAAGCGCTGTCTCCCGAGGACAGACTTGCAAGAGAGAAACTCTGGCCCCTGGTGGACAAAGCCAGGAAAGAAGGGAAGAGAGCCACCCTCATCGGTCCCTTCGCGCTAATCGATGGGAAGAAGATTAACCACTGGGATGTGAAGTAATGCATTTGGTGCACTACATTTAGCCTCATTCTACTCTCCAGCACCTTTATGCTTTGGCAATACTGAAATAATATTATAAGTGCATTCTTTTTGCCTCAAAATTATGTAATATTTCAGTACTCTGCCTATTAACATGCAAGTAATTATCTTGGCATAATTTTTGTTTGCATTGTATTGAAAGTTAATTCTTGGTCACAAAATTAGACATTTATTTCATGGTTGTCTAGCTGCTTTCTCGTTCTTTGATCTAAAGCAAGTCTAAAGTTTTAGCTACTGTTCGAAAGAGAGCTCTTTTTTGTGTGTGTTCTTATGGTTCAATTATCATCTTTAAATGTAACTTCATTGAATGTCAGGGGTATTCGTGATTCAACTAAAAGGAAAGCACTGTTTTTATTTCTTAAAAGAAGTGATGCTGAGTTCATATTCCTTCAAGAAACTCATTCAAATGATGCTGATGTGAAATTCTGGAAGAGTCAGTGGGGTAACAATATTTACTTCAGCCATGGCTCAAACCGTTCAGCGGGAGTTGCCATTTTGATTCATAAGTTTAAAGGGGATGTAATTGAAGTATTTACAGCAGATACAGGTAGATGGATTGTTTGTACGATCAAGCAAGATAACTTAGTTTTTACTATTTGTAACATATATGGACATAATATACATTCACATAACAACTCACTCTTCTCCCAAATATCATTCAAACTTAACGAGTTGTTACAAAAATATGCAAACTCTCAGATTATTTTATGTGGTGATTTTAATGAATGTGCAGATGAAACAAAAGACAGATTCCCACCTAAAACTGTTCAAGCACTTCAGAGCAATAACATAACAAAACTATGTTTGGATTTATCACTCACTGATGCCTGGCGCTTCTTATACCCTGATAAAAAGGATTTTACTTGGTCTAATAGAAGTTTATCTTTAAGATCCAGAATTGACCTGTTTTTGATTTCGTCATCGAGCCTTTATCTTCTCAAAGAGGTTTCGCATTCTTCTGCTCCTTTATCAGATCATATGCAAATTTCACTTGAACTGTGTGGTGAATTACACCAGTCCAAACTAAGAGGATATTGGAAATTCAATAATACCCTTTTGCAGGATGAGGAGTTCAATGAAAAGGTTATAAGGCTAATAAATGAAATATACTTAGACACTGAGAATGGTAATCACAAGCAAAAGTGGGAATATTTTAAATATAAACTGAGGGCTGTTGCAATACAAAGAAGTAAAAATCTTAAAAAACAAAAAAAACAAAATGAGATGGATTTAATTGAGAGAATAAATGATCTCCTTTCTAAAAACGTTATGTCTGATCTGGAACAGGTTGAATTAAAAGAAATGCAAACAAAACTGGATCAGTTTTATTTAGACTTAGCAAAAGGTGCCTATATTCGGTCCAGAGCTAAATGGATCGAAGAAGGGGAGACCAACTCCTCTTACTTTTTTGCTCTTGAAAAAAGAAACGGCAAACAAAAATCTTTGACTTCTCTCAAGCTTAATGATACAATAACCACAGATGCAAAAATTATTTCTAATCACGTGGCCTCATTTTATAGTAATTTATACACTTCTGAATTTGATTCAAAAGCTTGCATAGAATTTCTTAGTAAAATAAGACAATATTGTCCAGTAGTAGATGATAGTTTTAAAGAATTGTGTGATTCTGATTTGACTCTAATTGAAATTAAAGAAGCTTTGTTTTCAATGAAAAAGTGCAAAACTCCAGGAATTGATGGTCTGTCAGTTGAATTCTTCTTACACTTTTGGGAGACTCTTAAAGATCCCCTATTTGATATGTACAAACAGTGCATAGAGGAAGGAGAAATGACTCCAACAATGAAACAGGGTGTTATTTCACTCATCCCAAAAGCAGATAAAGACACTTTGCTGATAGAAAATTGGAGGCCCATCACTCTTCTAACAACAGACTATAAAATATTATCCCTTGTTTATGCCAATAGACTGAAAAAAGATCTAAACAAAATTATAGCAGAGACTCAATGTGGTTTTATCAAAGGTCGCCACATTAGTAATAATGTCCGCTTGGTTTTGGATTTATTGGATTATTCTGACTTGGTGCACTCTGACGCATTTATCTTGTTTGTGGATTTCTACAAGGCTTTTGATACTATTGAACACAAATTTATTCAAGAATGTCTTCAGTTATTTCAATTTGGAAAATCTTTTACACATATGGTTGATATGTTTTACAATGGTATCAATAGCTCTGTTATTGTTAATTACACCACTACAAAAAGGTTTGATATAACACGTGGTGTAAGACAAGGATGTCCGATAAGTCCTTTTATTTTTGTTTTAGTAGTGGAATTGTTATCTATAAATATTATCAGTAGCCCGGAACTGAGAGGTATTTCGATTTTCGATAGAGAAATACGAATTTCACAACTTGCGGATGACACAGCTCTTTTTCTGAAAGATAAAAATCAGATGCAGAAGGCAATTTCATTAATTGAAGAATTCACTAAGGCCTCAGGCTTGAAATCAATGTATCCAAATGTGAGCTGTTGCCAATTCATAGTTGTGAAGATCTATTTCTAGAGAATATTCCAATCAAACAGTCTGTTAAATATTTGGGTATTCAAATTACAAAAAACAAGGCAACTAGACAACAATTAAATTTCCATCATAGAACTGTTAAAACCAAAAGTATCTTTAACCTCTGGCTTCAGAGAGACTTAACCTTGTATGGTAGAGTTCTTCTGTCTAAGGCAGAGGGTCTGTCTCGCTTTGTTTATCCTCTACTGTCACTATATGTAGATGAACGCATATCCAAAGAAATTAACACTCTTTTTTTTTTATTTCATTTGGAAAAACAAACCTCATAAGCTCAAAAAGGCTGTACTCTCGAATGCAAAAGTGGAAGGAGGGCTTGAAGTTTTAGAGTTTTCCGACACTGTAAATACATTCCGAATTAACTGGCTAAAAAGGTGTCTTGCAAATTTAGAGTCTATCTGGTACTTTATTCCCAATCATATTTTTGAGTCAGTTGGTGGACTACCTTTTCTTTTAACATGTAATTACACACCTACAAAACTTCCTGTGTCATTAGCTAATTTCCACCAGCAATGTCTTCTTGCTTGGAAACTGTGCTTCAATCATAATTTCTCTCCACATAAATATTCCTTGTGGAACAACAAACATGTTACAATAAGAAATCGGTCTTTGTTTTTTCCCAAATGGTTCCAAAAAAATATTAACACGATTGTGTCTCTATTGGATGAACAAGGATCTTTTTTACCATATGAACAATTTATGGTGAAGTATGAATTCCCTCTCCCCTTCAGAGAATACAACTCTGTGATCAGAGCCATCCCTCCAGAGTTGCTCCATCTTATGAGATGCCATTTATCCTTTAACAACATCAACGATATTGGTGATAGCTCTATTGTGCTCACCTTAAATGGAATTAATTTACTTGATAGAAAATGTAATAATCACCATATCCGCCAAATGTTTCAAAGTCATAACAAAATCACTCCTAGGTGTAAATGTTTCTGGAACTCCTTAATAGAGGAAATAGACTGGAAGAAAACCTGGCTATTGCCATATAAATACTGTATAACAAACAAAATGAAAGAAGTTCATTTTAAGATTGTTCATAAAATCTACCCTGTCAACTCGGTCGTCTCAAGGTTTGCAGATGTTGATAAAAACTGTACATTCTGTCAAACACAGGAAGAAACTCTCGAGCACTTGTTTTTCTATTGTAACATTGTTCAAACATTTTGGGCTGAATTGAATAATTATATTTTCCAAAATTGTCCAACGAGTCATTGTTTTACACTTAAAGATATTATCTGTTATTTTGAAGATAACACAACCACAAAGTCATTTAACTATGTAGTTAATTTTTTCATTCTGTTTGGTAAATTTTTTATTCACAAGCAAACATTTTTGAAATCACCGCTGTATTTTCCTCTATTTTTAAGTGATGTAAAAAATGTTATGAACTCACTGCTGTATGTAATGAACAAGAAAAGCCAACGACTCCAAGACTGTTACAAAGACTTCTTTAATGAAACCCCCTGACACAAACTAAATGAACTTTTTTTTTTTGATTATTAATGTAATTTTATTTCATATACTGTATTTTGTTATTTTGATATGAGCTCTATATTTTCAAATGTCTCGTCTTTGACGTTTGTTGTAAATTGAAAATAATAATAATAAAATAATAAAAAAAAAAAAAAAAAAAAAAGAGAAAAAAAAGCACAAACCTCACGCGCACACGTATACGCACAGACGCGCGCGCACCCACCGGTATTTTAATAAATCCATAGCACACACACAAATGTCTACCAGCCTAGCTGCCTAGATACTTGAGATAACTTTAGGACAAAGTAAAAGAAAAATGAATTTGGCCACAAAATCTGCTTCCACGTGGTGAATGTGTCCCCCACTTGGCTTAAAAGGGCTTGTCCATAAAGATAACCGCTAAACATGTGTTGTACATGAGTTACCATGGACCTCTTGCCTGTGACTCAGACAAAAACATTTTGGAATAATAGTTGTGCCATACTCTTTCCATTATTTCCATGATGAATTAAACTGTGCTCTATGATTTGTTATCTTTGTATAACCTATAACCATGCTTTGAACTTTTGCCCAACTTCACTGACCTCTCTGGTGGGTTCTCTGGACGTCATGCAGTTTAATGACCAATATGTTTTTTATCAAACCTCTGAAGCCATCAAAGATTAGTTTTAACCATATGAGATCAGATAATGTTCAGTGGACATCAGGAAACATCTCAAAAGGCAAGTGGTATATCAAGAACATTTTGCTTTCACTTCACATTTGTTTACCACTGGTCTTTCACAAAGAAATAAAAACTGTATTGTTGTGGTCATGACAAACGTTTGAGAGGTTCGTTGTTTGGGTATGAATACCCATGCCATGTAAAGCACTTTGTGACTCGCTATATAAATAAAGTTTACTTACTTACTTACTTTTCAAGGAACTGTATCTTATTTTATTCAACCATATTCACAGAAATGTATTAAGCAAAATAACCACATAAGCTATGATCTTTTGTTCCACATCAAAGCTATCACAGTGTGCTCGTATTATCAATGTTTAACATTCATGTCATGTCATGTCCTCATGTTTTGGATTGACGAGTATCTGTCCACTCCATTTTAGTGTTTTGGAGAGCCTGGGTCTTCTTCTCATCCACCTGCACATAATCCACTCGATGTTCATCGGACAAAAATTGTTTCTATAAGAGACAAGATATGCAAGTAGTTAGTAGAATTGTGTTTATTTAGTTAAACATGTATTATGAATAGTATTGATACATCTAGTTAGAACTGTTGTCTGTGTAGTTTATACCTTCTGTACTGGTGATGGAGATGCAGAGTTGAAATCAAGTGATAAGTAGTCAAGGTTGGATTTCCTTGACATTGGCAACACCACACCATCAATGCCATGAATGCAGATGTGTCTTGACTCCTGTAATATATAACAATATTTAAAAGCATATATAAACACAATAACTATGCAAATTGCTTGTATGAACCAATGCAAATAAACATATTCATAGTAAAACTATAAACATTAATTACATTCATTATGCATCCAGTGTCTTCAGTTTGTATGTTGTTCTCACTTCCTACAAAGCTGCCAAAAAATAAAAAAATATAAATCATTTATTTTCATTTACAGTACATAATTACATTACATGAAAATGTCTCAAAGCATCAATACATTACATATATTTACCACAAGTCAGTCGTTGTTTTGTTCAATGTTAAATTTGTAGGGCATTCTGTGATTGTGGAGAGGCCTCTGAGGTCAAGCGGAGGAGGTCGTGCTGAAAACAGTAACTATGTCAACAGCTGCATATACGTACAGTACATAGTATGTACTGTACGTATATGTACATATATTTTCATCCATCATTTCATTATGTTTCAGAGATCTCCCACCTCTCCTTAGTCTTGGTTTGAGATGACGATTGATGGGTGGAGGAGCGAACTCTCCAAGCTGGGACATGAGGGAGCTGAGAGGGGACTCTGTGTCTCCACATGCCCTGGGGCTCATGGGGATGTACCCCTCACAGTCAGTGTTGCTGAGGACGACCGGGGGAGTGGACATGTGGACATAAGACTCCTCTTGACAAGCCTGAGCTCTGGGGGTATTTAAAGGCTATGGGGAAAGAGAACATCATGAGATTAGACAAACAATAAAGGGCAACATTAGAAAGTGAAAGGGCAGAGAAAGAAATGCAAATACATTGTATAATGTCAAAAACTCATACAAACACCAAATGGTTTCACAAATGTAAATAAATTAAAGTTTCACTTGGAATGAGAAAAATTTAACAGGGCCTTTTGCCACTGAATACAAGTGTCCCTTATTTTATCTTCCGGGTAATATCAGCTTGTGGAGGCAGTAATCAGAGCAAGGTCTCCCATACTACCCTTTCTGCGGACTTAGTCAATCCAGATAAATCCTGAGGTGTTCCGAGCCCAGAAACATTCCCTTGACAGTCCTTAAGATTGTCCTATGTTTGTGATGGTGTCTCCTCCTGGTGGCAATCCTCCTTTCTGGTTAAGAACAAGGGCCTTACATTTGAAAGGGCTGACTTTCTTCCTGTCCTCTCAAGCACATTGGAGGTCCTGAATTGAAGTCGTCAACAGCACAACATCATATATCAGATATACAAATCAGATATACAAATCCGTCCATGAAATATTGGATTTACAGCTGGCAATGGAAACAGAGCTTCTTGAGATCAGCCACTTCTGTTATGCTCCGGTGGTACATGCCATGTACCTGGTGGTTTGGATCAGAGAATCGATGTCTCTCTCGCTCTTGGCGTACAGCTTGATGTCATCCATGTAGAGGAGGTGACTGATCTTTGCTCCGTTCCTGAGGCGGTATCCATAGCCAGTCTGGTCAACTATTTGGCTTAGAGGGTTCAGGCCTATGGAGAACAGTAGTGGGGACAGAGCATCTCCTTGGTAGATACCACATTTGATGGTCACTTGTGCGGCTTGCCATTTGCCTCAAGGTTGGTCTTCCACATCCCCATTGAGTTTGCAACAAAGTCCCTTAGAGCCCTATTGATATTGTCCTACTTGTACAAGCATTCCATGATCCATGTGTGTGGCATTGAGTCGTAGGCTTTCTGGTAATCAATCCAGGCTGTGCACAGGTTGGTGTGTCGTGACCGGCAGTCTTGGGCGACTCTTCTGTCAACCAGGAGCTGGTTTTTGGCTCCTCTGGTGTCTCTACCAATGCCCTTCTGTGCTGTGCTCATGAATTGTTCCATATGCCCACTTATCTTAGCTGCAATGATGCCTGATTATATATATATATATACGGCTTATTAAATGACCGCAAGGTTAATAAATGTTTTATTATATGTCTATTTTTAATTTATGCAAATATCGGTTTCAACTAGCAAAAACACATGCAACCAAACTGTCAAATTGTGATATGAAGAACTTGCTTATCAGATGATTGAGGTCGCCCGCTGTAAGTTCTCAATCGTTTCTGTGTCTTTACCAATGCTTTTTAGATATTTGTGAAGTATGTTCATGTCCGACTTGGTTTTCCTAATTGTGTTTTGTTTTTAGCTTTCTGGTCTGTAACGAAGTTGTCAATCTCTTCCTGACTTAGGAGTTGTGTTTTTGTCGTTATTTGCTGTTATTACTTCCTCTGGCTCTTCGAACTCGTCTGTATAATAGAATTTACTGGAGAATGCTCCCAGTCGTCGCTCATTATTTCTTTTTTACAGAGGAAAGATATCAAATTTGATATGCGCTGCGGACCAATTGTCATGGTAACGGCCCGAGATGGGGAAAAATCAGACCGCAAATCAGCCAATCAGAGCGCGGGTACAATCCTAATAATAATAATATATATATATATATATATATATATATATATATATATATATATATATATATATATATATATATATATATATTATTATTATTATATTTTTTTTGTAATAATAGAAAGAAAAGAAAAAGGGGTCTTACCAAATTTAGACTCTGTCTTCTGTCTCTTAACATTCTGCTTTCATGATTTCCTAAACAAAAAGCATATTTGTGTAAACAAAATACAATAAATCTGAACAAAGAAACATCTTTAGCTACACAAACATATTTTGGACCAAGCATAATGTTTTGTTTACACAGAAAACCAGAGGAAGACGTTTTTTCTACCAGTATGGAATTAAACTTCTAACTTTCTAAAACGTCTTATGAAAAGTAACATCAATATTATCACTTCATCAATGAAAAAAAATAATATAAAGTCATATCAATAATATGAAAAAAATCATTTTGGTAACATAATATAAACTTTCATTTTCTACTGTATTTATTCATAATCGTGCTTCCACAATATACCTGGTCTGAATTGGTCTAAGCCAGACATTGAAGTCCTTCTTGAGAACAAGGAATGACTGGGTAGTTGGTGCATGCTCAAGGCTTGTGGTCGATGGATGACCCTTTCAGGGGTCTGCTCCAAGACATTTCCGGGTTTTGGGGGTAGCGGAGGCGGTGTAAGTCTTTCAGACGATGCATCAAAAACCGTGTCAAACTGGAAGACGCTTGTTGCACAGTGACGCCGCAGAGGAGAGGAGGAGGAGCAAGGCAGGATCATGGGACACGGAGCACTGAAAGGTGGATTGGACAATCGACAGTGACTAAAGACACATGGACTGGGACTCGGGAAGGACGAGGACGAAAAGGAGTCTGCGTAAAGAGGAGAAGGCACAATGTCTCTGTGAGTGTCCTCAGATGATCTCTGCTCCAGAGAGTAGTCTGAGTTGAAGCTCTCCTGTCTGGATACATTACATCAGATATTAGATCATCTTGCACCACATGTACAGTAAAATATTGACAATCACCACTGGACAAACCTGCTGATGCTGACGCTCCCGGTCTCGCACTGAGAAAGGAAGAGGTAGTCGGGGGGATAACTTCCATCCATTTGACTCACCATAGAAACAGCATCAGAGCCGTCAGGAGAAGGCTGCAGAGAAGTGGGTGTGTGCGGAAAACCATCCTCAGAGCTTTCTGTCAAGACAATGCACCTGATGTGAAAGACTTAAACAAGTTGGCATTCGCCAGACACGATGCACGACAGTTGCACTGACCTAATGTGAAGGAAAAAGGAGCTTAAAACACTAATCACAAGAGATGGTTGTGTTCCACTTTCTCAACAGGAAGAGTTCAAGTATCTTGGGTCACGAGTGAGGGAAAGATGTGTAAGATTGACAAACAGATGCAGTGACGCGGTTGCTGTATCAGACTGTTGTGGTGAGGAGAGAGTTGATTCCAACAGCAAAGCTCTCAATTTAGTTTAGTTCAGTCTATGTTTCCACCCTCACCTATGGTCATGAGCTGTGGGTTTTGCTCATTTTGACCGATACAAGCTGTCATCAGGTCATGAGAGATTTGCTGCAAGTTGAGGTGGCTCGGGCATCTGTTTTAAGGATGCCTCCTGGACGTCTGTTCCAGGCATGTTTTGCCGGGGGGAGACCCCAGGAAAGGCACAGGATACACCTTGCATGGGATCACCTCTGGAGTCCCCCGGATGAGCTGAAGGAAGTGTGTGTGGATTGGCAAGTCTTGGCATTTCTGCTCAGACTGCTTCTCCTGCCGCAACAGATACAGCTGAAAATGAATGGATGGACGGGTGGGTGGGTTGTGTAGTTCAAGCATAGATCTTGTGTAATAATGGTAAAATGTAACACATAGTACAGTTCCCTCTGTCTGTCTGCTCCTTATAATGTTTACATATTTTTAAGTCTTTTAGTCAGGTTGGCTTGTGCTCACAAATATCTTTCATTCCTTTTCCCTCAAGGTCGCAGTCAAGGCTAGTCCTGCACAGCCACACAAGAGAGTGCAGCACAGGGTGCAAAACTGCAAACCGCTCACCATAAAAGTAACAAAAGGTTCAGATTTTTACAGTTACAAGAATTAAGAGGGGTACAAAACGAGGAGTTTGGTACACGTCAGCCAAACAAATCTCAAAAGTCAGACTCATGATAGGCAATGGGTGCATAGCTATAACCTGGTACAATGCATCTCTATCTTTGAGGTTAATGTTTATTGCACACTGTCCCTGTCTCTTTAAATAAACTAAACTACATGTGGGTGAAGTGCCTTGCCCAAGGACACAAGTGTAGTTTTGCCATTGATACCCTCAGCCATCTCACTCTGGCACATTGTCAGTGGTCTTTCATCACGGCAGGCCACATACAGTACTGCTTAGCCTCTGAAATCAGATAAGGCTTTGAAAGAAGGCAGTCAATAGAATCTTGAATTAAATAAACGTAAATCATTTGAGTATATTTATCTATTTTAAGTACATGTCAAAACCCAATGGTTCTAAAAGTGGAGGTGTAAAACATAAATGGGAGGGCTTGATATGATTTCTAGGTACAATTCTAAAAGGCTTTTAAAGTAGCAATATGTAAGATTTTCATGTCAAGTCATCATTAAATGGCCCTGATATGTCACAAGGCATTATTAAACCATGCTCTTTTCAAATACTTCTTTAACTGATCACAGTAGTTAAGCCGAGATATTCTACTTTCAAAATTAGTTTTACAGCCCCTGAATCTTGTTATTGTTTACATTTCGATGTCCCGCCCTCCACCGTTTTACCAATCAGAAAGTCCGTGATCCGGGTTGCCAGAACTCACCGCGTCGCGCTGAAGTCACTAGTAAAGTAACATGTGGCCGCAGAACTGAAAAAGTCTCGTTATGATTCTCAAATTATTAATGACAAAACAAGGAATAAAATGAGGATTTCTGTTGGGGCCTTTGTGAAAAAGGTGTTGGTTTTAGATTTCACAAAACTCTTGTCTGTTCAGTCCCAGCTGGATTCGTCCTCATATCTGGCAACCTGAGTCAGAAAGAGTGGAAGAGGTTGCAGTACCACTTTTGGCCAGATTTGTACATACTGCTCCTTTAATTTCATTATTTATTTGACAATGACACAAAATGTTTGAGAACAAAGTTTGAGAACCCCTGCTTTACCCAATTTCTAACTTCAATAGCTATATTAATGTAACTAAATAACTAAAACCAATTAGTAGTCGTAAAAGTACTCTCAAAATAAGACTTGATTAAATTTTAAAAAGCATGTGAAACAATATATTTTAAGTCATTGTAAATGTAAATTTGTAATATTACTTGTTATCTTCAACAAACACCATATACATGAAGTCTATGGTTATTGCTGTAACCATAGTGACCACACTCGTCATCTGACAAACCAACCTGCATCTTCCAGAGTTCCAAAGTAGCAGATTTGACTGATGCTGTTTATCCAGCCGTTCATCTCCTCTTCCGTTTTGGCCACCAGGTAAAAGGTTCGGGAGGAAGTCTTCACCACAAACAGGTGTTTTCCATGAAAGTCCCTCTTGATGCGGAGTTGCCCGTCCAACATCTCCACCTCACACTCCTTCAGGTCAATGGTGCGGATAGGTTTTTTGGAGTTCTTACTCTGATAGTACTCCAGCACATCGGGGTTTCCACTCATACGGCCTCGGCGCAGAACAAACCAGCGCTTCCTCCAGGCCTAGGACAAGAAGATACAATAAAACTAGTTATGGCAGTTTATTCTGCATTTAACCCATCCAGAAAGCCACTGGGAACGGTGACCTGCAGCAGACCAGCGCTGTGGGAGTACCCAGCCCAAGTGGAATGTCTGGACAATGTGATATTTGAATAGACAATATTATGTTACTTGTGCTCGGCACTATAGCGTGGCAGAGTACAAAAAATAGAGACAAACCTCAAGACCTAAGATATAAGATAAGACATTTCATTGTCATCATTGCACACCTTACAGGACCATAGGATTAATAGCATTAAAACAAGCTAATTATCAAGCAAGATATAAAGCTGAGATAATAAATTAGATAAAGTCTCTCAATCTTAACATAACCTCTATAGTTGTAGCTGAGCCAGAGTGCTTTAGCTGTATATGGTTTACAGTAGCCTGCCGCCCAGGGCAGAGGATATCTCTGTCAGTGTTTTCTTCTGCCCGGAAAAAGAAGGGTATAATGCAAGAACATGTTTGACCAATGACTGCTATTAGCAAATTAACAATCTTGCAAAGACATTCAAGACAGCATTGGGATGTACAAAAATAAATGTACAAGAGTAGCTTTTGTAGATACAGAACACAACTGTAAAGTCTACAATTTCAGATCCCCACATGGGTTGAACACAAATCTCTTTTTATAACTTGAGATACAGATATTTGCTTCAAAAACATATTCTTTATTCTTTATGTAACACAATTTATATTTTAGGTGAACTAATAACACCTTTGATCAGTAATAGGGTTTCTCCTTCTCTAACTTCTTTTTTCTTTTAAAAATACATAAGGCGGAACTTGAGCCTACATTTCCAAGAAGTGCAGATAAGAGGAACTAGCATATTTAACACAAATGTGTATGTGTGTGAACCACAAAAAAATAACTAAATCAATCATTTGGAGCAACCATTCAGCTTCGGCAACAGTTTATTTTGAGTATAGTTTAAGAGAAAGTACTTCTATGATCATAACAGAGTTTAAACAGGACAAGGTGAGTTTTGGCTAAAGACATAAAACCTACCCCCCACAGACATCAATTGTTTATTACAATCACTGTTACTTAGTCCAGTAGAAATAGAATATTCGTCCGTGATGAAGTTTTGCAGTCTTTTTTGTTTATTGATTGGTGTTTCATTCTATAACTAAATATATTTATGCTGTAATGCATACAAATGAATATACACTTGATCCTTACATATTCTATCAAATATTTTGATAATAGGTAACTTTTTAGAGAAGCACTTAAGCGCAGAAGCATTCAGATTACCTTCCAGTTTAAATAAAACAATGTATTTGTTTTGTGTGTGTTTCCAGTTCATTGTGAAATATAGTTAAATGCTTTATTCTTGAACAGTAAGAAAGTTTCTTTGTAATGGTCTTGATAAAACTGGTGTATGTACGGTCATTTGAATAAATGGCAGACTGTTTTACATCCTGTGTATTGCTTTGCCTCAACACCATTTGCATGGTCAACCAAACATTGCCTGTCTACCCAACAAAACAGAAGTCTAGCTTTTCAATGCAATCTTGTTGATTTGAGCTTGTATCAATTCAATTTTGAGTAGGAACTACAAACTATTTCTGTTGTCGGTTAAGAGTTTTTGACTCCTGCTGACATGACTTCCCATGTTTCACAATAGGCATCGCACACACACATACACACACACACAACATACTCTCACACACCCACACACTCACACACACACACACACGCATACACGCACACACGCACACACACATTGAGCTCATGTTAGTGGCGAGCCCAGCATTATCGCATTATCACATGACCCCACTAACCGCACAACAGTAAGGTCTATATGTTGTTTATCAACATTTTACACTATGCTTCAAGTCAACAAAATACAGTTGAGATAGTGTGAGGTTGTTGGTTCTGAGAAGAGCTCTTAAGAGATAAAACCATGTAAGCCATTATTACTGAGAATGGGGAATAGGAATTTTAACTGCATTTGGTCCGGTTGAAACTGACAAAAAGCACACTATGGCCACCACATAGTGTCTCATTATGAAAGCTTGAAGCAGGCATTCAAGAGCAGAGGCAAAATGGACAATGACAGGACGTAAACAAGTGGTGTCTGTGTGTGCATGGTTACTTACAAATCTCTTGAGTTTCTTCTCAGGGGGCGATTTGATGAGCCAGCCAGTGCAGACCACGTCCCCAGCACTCATGGTGACTGCGGAGAGAGTGTGGTGTCCTCCTCACTGTTGGACGCAGGCGGTTGATGCTACTGCTACCACCTCCACTGCTGCTGTTAGTACTACTACTGCGGCTGGGAGGGCTGTCTGGGGCTGCATATCCTGTGCTCTGCTATTCAGACAAGGCAGCCACTCCAAAAGGAGGAAGTCAAGAAAATGATCACACTGACAGAGAAAAAGAGAGAGAGGAGGGAGGGAGAGAGAGGAGGGGGTGTATTTTCTCAAGGGCACCACCAAAGTGATGGAGCCGTGTTGTCCTGTGGAGGAGTGAGAGCAGAGGAATATTTTAGATGATGACGCCAGCATGAGTGGGCTATTGAAGGCAGCATGATGATGTGGTGTATACGCTTTCTATTCTTCTATTTTAGCTTTTACTGGAAGAAACTCATACTGCATTGGTTGTGTAAGGCTGTTGGACATCCTACTGGCACAGTTTGCCTGTGTCCAATAAGTCTGCCACACTCAAGCAGTTTGGTTGGGAAAAACTTCCAATCAAATTGGTTAAGGTGATATTGGCTAGATTAACCAATGATTGCTCAAGGATTTACCACTCAGATAGTTGTGGGCAAACCATATGATTAGTTAAATGGATATTGATTTTATTGACCAATACGTTAGCACTGGTTGGTGCTGTGACCAAAATAGATCGAAAAGACACTGCCATAGAAACTGCATTCTATTCACCTAGAGAATTTGCCTGTTATAAAAGTATCTTGATTTGGTTTGAACAGGGATTGGATGAAGCAAAAAGCTTACATTAATCCAATCCTCTCCAAAAAGAAATTATTTGGATTGTCTAATATAATAGGCTACTCAATCTCTGCGTGCTTTGTATATACAGTATATATAAATATAAATATATATATATATATATATGTATATGTATCGCAGCTGGATGGCTCAGTTGGTAGGATGCAGGGCTGGAACCTGGGAGGCCAGAGTTCGAATCAAACTGGGGTACTTAGGCAAGACCCTTACTGCTACAACATCCCAGCCAAACAAGGTCTGCGTCAGGTGCTGGGGGACCTGAGCACCTTGATGAAAAGTGGGCTACTGGAACAAGGCGAAAGTGAGCGAAATGCGATAACAAAGCTCTGTTGGAATAAGGGGATCCCTGGAACAATCTCAGAAATCTCGGCCCAGACATGTGCAGTGCTAGGAACAGCAAAGATACTGCGCAGGTGTGTGTGTGTGTGTGTGTGTGTGTTTTTTTTAAAGATATATATTCACATGGTGAACCTACAGTCACTAGTCATGAAAAGAAAGGAAACTCATTGAATGAGAAAGTCCAAACCTTTGGTGTGTACTGTATCTGTATCTATCTATATAAATAATGTTACATTAAATAAATGGATGCTACATTATATATAATGTGGAAATTACATTTCTTGTGACAAATAATAGCGTGCTTCTGCCTCAAAGAATTTCTAATTAATGCTCTAAGCGGCTTTTCGCCTGCAGTCACGCAACCCAACCACTAGGAGGCTGCAGTGCATTTTCATTGCAATGAATCTGCAGATAAACTCAAGAGAGATGTAATGGCATTCGTCAGAGATCCTTCTAAAAGCGAGATACCAACACACCACGGTAATCTAGAACACTATTATCACATATATCCTTTACAAAACTGTTGTACAAACACTGTCAATAAAACATAAATTAAACAAAACGCCACTATATATCACAAAATAACGATTAAAAACATGATCTATTGTCTGAGTGCGAGCAATGTGATTCTATCTCTTCGTGGAAAGAGTATTTGTCATTACCCATGTCTCCTCAAATGTATGACCTGCTCCTGGCCTTGTCGTGCAGCGTGTGGCGGTGCTGCTCCTAGACCTGTGCTTTCTGGACACACTTTTCAAGGGGACCCCGTCACATTTCACACCCGACATTAGCACCATTTTCCCGGGTCTATTTAGCGCTCCTGTCCAGGCACAATGCTGACATGTAGGTCCCTCTGGAGGAAGCTGGCTCCTCTCAGCAGATCCGCATCCACTGTCTGCCGGCATAATGTCAAAAGAACAGGTACGACTCAAACTAAACTTAGTTGTTGCTGGCACTCGTTGGTTATTTATTGCCTAAGCTCTGTCAATGTGCAGTGATACAAGGTACTTCATGTCTCATGTAGCCCAAAAATGCTGTGACCTCTACATTGGATCATATAAACTACTGTGTATTTGTTAAAGGACAAGTGTCAACGCGGTTTTTTCACGTTTTATAGATTACTGCTTAAAGTAGTACTTTGTAAAATGAGAATAACTTGCAATTATAATATTTATTTTTGGATTTTTTTAGTTTATAGAATTTAAGCAGACTATCACATATAAGCTCTGTGTTTTATAAATATTTACAGTCTATGGTTTTATGTCGGCGTATGGGTTTACAAGCAAGAAGTTATCGTCCATCAACTGTATTTTTGGATAAATAGTCAAACCTTTTGCCCTTTGAGTTTGTACGTGTTTGTATCACAAGCATATGTCAAAAGTAAGCTTATTGACATTTTTTGTTTTTAACACTATTCGTGCAAATTTAGGCACTTTAAGTCAGAAATAACTGTCTATGGAATAATATTTTTATTTATTTATTTTACCCCCAACTAAAATAAAAGATAAGGAACATTTGAGGATTGTCATTGTCATTTTTTATAGTGTTCCAATACAGCCCATGGATACAGTACTTCATAAGTAAAGGAAAAATCAGAAGTTTATATATAATGTGCAGAAAGACGTAATGTATTTTGTTCTCCTAGTTTGAACTGTGAGATACAAAAAATACGGATGTAACTGTTGTAGGTTCCTATTACCTCAATACTTGTACCTAATTCTTCAGTAGCTGAGTGGTTAGGGTCAGGACTCTCGCCTCTCCGCATAAGGCCCTGTGTTCGAATCCCAGTTGAAATAGGGCTTTTTTGAGTAGAGTTTGTGTGTTCTCTCCATGTTAGATGGGACCCTGGGCATTGCACTAGTGACCACTGCTCCTGACAGGTCATCCTAGTTGCACTGGCCGGTGGGTGGTGCCCATGTTGGATCGGGTATCGACTTAAATGATACTGGTTAAGTGAAAATTCTTTATTTTCAATGTATTAATTGTTTTATTTGAGTCTGGGCAGATACAGAAAACATAGACAAACTGTCACACAGTTGTCTGATGCATGTATCATGGTGCTTATAGCAGCACTTGTTGCTAGATTATGACGTACTGACAAGCACAAAGTTAGAGAAAGGAAGGAAAAAAATTACAGGTACTAATTCACAAATTAGTACCTATTCATTAATCATGAATAGGAACGTTGATGTAATAAAACTGTTTATTTAGACATTGAGTTTTAACATTTACTCACAGTTGGACACATTTTGTAACAATTTAGCTGTGATTTGAGGATATATAACCAGGCACTTCCAGGGTATTGGCAGGTATTAAAAGCAACTGTATCAAGATGGGTGCATCTCTATGACCAAAACATTTTACCTTTGTTGTGCTTACGCTACGTGGCTCTCATTCATGAATGTTGCAGTACAACGGGTCGACCTCATATTAGAGCTGGACGAAAAGTCTATTGGATTTTTATAAGATACAATTTGAAAAAGTCTAAATGTGTCTTTTCCTCTGTATTTCCAAGCACAGATGTTGGGTTTTGACAAAAAAAAAAAACATAAAATTACTTGAGTATAACATTAACGTTGTCTTTTTGCAGCGTTCAACAATGGCAGAAGACCGGCTCTTGTACCGGCCAAACACATGTCCACAGCTCCGGGGGGTGGTGGCAGTGAAAATACTCTTTATGTGGTGTTGGTTGGAGCTGCCTTTGTAGGAGGTTGTACTTATGTGAGTAACTTCATTATTTAGTTTGAAGTGCTACATCTGCGACTCTGGAATATTTCTAAACATTCTGTTTGCTCCCAGGCATACATGACAGTAAGAGGAGACGGTAAAAGGTACGAAGAGCGTATTACTGAAATCGCATCCAGATCAGAAAAACAAGCCCCTGAATCACTTCCTACAGGTAATTGGATTATTGTATTTGTATGGTCAGTCAATACCATTTTCATATTTTGTTAATGTCCATAAAGATTATGATCATGTCTTATTTGTATTTCCCTATTGTTTCCAAAATCACATTTCTCATTGTCCTGTAGATGCCCCAGAACCAGAGGTGGAACCTTTGTCGAGTGAGGAGTCCACAGCTGCTGAACCTTCAAGTGAATCAGAGCCCGTTCCAGGTAAACTCCTTTTCTAAACTGAAAAAATGCATGTGCCTCCTGTGTAAGAAACCTAATACAAGCCATACTGCACAAACATACAATTTGATAAAGTTTCAGTGGTTCCGCTAGGTTTGTTGGTTTGACCCTGGATGTGTGCATGCTCACCCACAGGTGTGCAGATACTATGTTAGAAAACCCTCATTATTAGAATTTAATTATTCTTATTGAACATGTATACATTTATTTCAAAATAAATAAATAAGATTATTTCTTCAGGGTAATAAAAATAACCTTGTCTAGCAGCTTTTATTCCATAATTATGATCAGATTGCATCACTTTTTATGCAGGAGGCACCTTAAATTTCTATTTTTGGGTGAAATGGTGTGTTTAACATAACTAATCATTTACCGGTCAATCTCAAGTACATAATTACAGCTTTCATGTATGTTTATGGCATCGTGTTTTAGCTCTTTTTTTATGAAAACAACTAACATTTAACTCTTCTGTGAAGTTCTGTTTTCTTTGAGGATAACAGGTCAAAATGTTTTCTTGTTTTTCATTTGTTTATTAACCCTCAGAAATGACCTTCTTGCAATTGTCCGATTTTGTCTCTGCGTTTTGCTTTTTCACCATTAAACCAGTGTGGGCTTTTGCATGTTCTGGGGATGTGGTGTGTTAACTTTCACAGTGCTAATGCTGTGAACGCCTCTAACAGCAGAAGAAGAACCTGTGACGGCTGCTGCTGAGCCAGCTGCTCCTGTTATTGAGGACGGTAAGAACAAGCCAAAAAATGACATGCATGAAAAGTGTTACCTTTCTCTTTCTGGGTTTTGAGTATCAACAATACCTTTATGGATTTACTGTATGCCATCTTATTGTTCATTGTATTACTTTAGCTATACGCATTCTTACTTGGTCTTTCAACATCACATCTTTGGTTCAAACTGTTAAGCCACACATTCCTTGTGATGACAGCCATCTGCTCTCTCTGAGCCAGACGCCACAGCTCGCAGTAATATAATGTGATATAATGTGCACAGTCATAATATTGCACTGTAAAAATGATACACGGTACAACATATCTTAATTTTGATCTTCTTATTATATTTGTGTCAATAAGTTCAAATAAGGAAAAAGTGTCTCGTGAGCGTTTAAACCTTTCACAAAATTGTTCCAACCATTCCATCATCAAAAACATTCTGTTTCGTGCTCAATCCAATCCGTCTAAAAGTTGTTGCAAATCTTCAGTGGTTCTCAAAGTATGGGGGGGCTCCTCAAAGTGAAAGAGGCAACTCAAAGTGCTTATTTTTCAAGTGCTTAACAGTATTAAAATAAATAATCACAAAACATTAGAAAGAGAAGATGCAATCCTTTAGTTGTATACACAGCTAAACAGAATTTTTTTGAACTTTGTCAGAGAAGAAGCCTGTCTCACATTTTCAGGAAAGCTGTTACAGATTTTAGCTGCATAAATCTGAAATTCTGCTTTCCCATGTTTAGTCCAGTCCTTGTGATTTTCAGAGTGTGCATTAACAAGTCATAGATGTACTTTGAAGTCAGTTTATTTGCCATTTGCAGTAAAACCACATTAGAATAACTGTACAAGATGGCCCCAGTGTGCACCAGACCGTTAGTAGAGATAGTACACACCAGAACTCTTGCCATGGGGCTATTTTCCTGGCGCCATGTGAGGCCATGAAAAGACTTGTAAACAGAGCTGCTTTAATGTTTATTCTCTGGGCGACTGGAAGCAAGTGCAGAGACCAGAGAAAAGGACTAATGTGATCATACTTCCTGGTCCTAGTCAGGACTCAAGCTGCAGCATTTAGAATAAGCTGCAGCATTTAGAATAAACTGCAGCTGATTTACAGCTCGTACGACCCTGAAGACATGCGCGAATGTTGGCACCAAGCCCCGGCGATCCAAGATGGCGGCGTATTCAAATGAATGGTTTGTGCTCAGTGGCGCATGTGCAGGCACGGTCGCTGACATATTAGCGGAACGCACCATATCACTCACTATATTTGGGTATTGTCTGGTCCTTCCGGTTCTGCGCAGTGTATGATCTCCCATGATGCGTTGCGGCAATTACGCGTGTGTGGCTCTCATGCACGTGCAGAGTGGCTTGGCCGCGCTCTGACCAATCAGAAGTGCTCATCAGAGCGGAGCTAGAGCAAGAGCCAGACGAGCAGAGTTTGTGGCACTAAAGACACTGTGGATTTAAAGAAAACCTTTGAAGTTTTCGTTTACATTGAGTTCTATGGGGAACATTTCTGGGTAGCCCACTTTAATTTAGTCTGGTTTAGTCTACAGTACCGCAAAAATCCTCTGAGCGCATGGGTCCTTCAGCTCTAAGCTAGTAATACCCTATCCAGTTATTATAATAGATCCATGGTTGGCACATCGGGGGTGTAATGCGACTGGTTCAGCATAAAATGTCATTAAATTAACGTTTTGAGTATGTCCAGCGCATGCCAAAACTCTATCGCCCCGTGGAAAATTCTAATTTACAAAGCAAATGCATATTTTAGGGTAAGAGTGATGAGTGATAGATCTCTATGAGACAAGCCTAAAACTCTCTTGGAGCCTTTCTCTGGGACCAACAGGAAGTTGGCCATGATGGTTTGTAGTTTTGCCGCCAATTTCACTTTTCATTTTTGGGTTTCTTTTCTCTGAGTTTTCATCATACAGATTTCTACCATGTCATTTTCCAATCTGGACGGATAAAAGTTATATAATCCCTTTTGAAGAAGTTGGAAATTCTTCACCGTTTTAGTCCCACGCCAGGGCGTACAAGGCCTTTAGTTTTGGGTGTTTTGGTTGAGCCCTTGGGGCCACAGGCTCAGACCTGCAGAGCTGAGACTCACGTTACTAATATTAGGTTATGGCGTGAACACAATGACATTAAAATCATACGCCCAATATGAGTTCTTTAGCGCCACCTGTCGGAAAGTAATAGGGCACTAGTGCTCGAGTATAATCTCTGAACCAAGATGAGCGAAACTGCACATGACGTCAAAGTTGTAAGTCCCACACCTGACCGCTTGGGTGCTTTATATTCTTTAAATGAGCTTTTTGTAGCAAAATGTTTGTCTGATCAGGCTACAAATTAATTCACAAATACAGCATATGACTCTGAACACAACTATGAATGCAACAGCGCCATCTACAGGCTGTTCAAGGTTTTGCGTTATTTGATTCTTACGTGTCCTTGGTTTTTCATAACACAGACTTCTACCATGTCATTACCCAATCTGGGCAGATTGAAGTTATATTATCCCTTCGAAAAATCTGGAATTTCATCACCATTTTCATGCCAGGGAGCAGTGAATTTCAGATGGTTTTATGACCATAGGGCCGCAATACCCAACCTGACCATCGGGTGGGGCACCCGTTGCTGAATAAAGCACATTCTGAAATTGAGTTCTGTCCCTGCTGGTACCATAGTGGTTAAATTCTGCGCTGTGACTCAATATGAACTCAAGCCATGTATGGGAGGCCTCGAACCTAAACATGTGCTTTACATCCATACGAACAAAATATTACACTATGCAGAGGGTGCATGTCCCACTGATGACCACTAGGGGTGCACTGAATCCTTTAAATAAGCTTTTTTGTGCATAATCCTGGTTTGATCAGGCTGTGAATTAATCGGCAAATACACTGCATGATGCCTATGGGACTGACGCCTAGGAAGCGGTCGCGAGAATAGCAAGAGCTTTTTTTTTGCCACTGGCAGCTTTAATTATTATCATCCTCTCATATAATTTTAAGTTAATTTAGGAAAAAAATGACACAATTACTTTAACACTAACAAACGTTTAAACCCCTGGTTTAATAAGGTACAATTGAACATATGTTAGCTCTTTAGCTTTAACCAGTGTTTTAATTGTTAATATATAAGTCCTGGACTGTTGACTGTTCTACTGTCCATGTCTCCTAATCACACTTACACACTTTCACAATGTGCGGTGTGGATTTATTCAACAGCAGAAGAACCACCCACAGAGCCGTCTCCAGAAGCAGCAGAACCAGCTGTTGCACCTGTTTTAGTGGAGGGTAAGAGGGCTTTAGTTAAACCTCTGTAAGGGTATCCTTCAAACCATCTGAATGTGTTTTTGCTGTGGGCGTAGAACCCCCAGTATCTCCTGAAGCACAAGAGGAACTAGTGGAACCTTCTCCAGCTGCTGTAGACAGTGGTGAGCTGCTTTTAGCCGGGCTCCTATGGATCCCAGTTACAGTACATCAATATCTATTGTAATTTACACTTCTGTTTATAAAGTATTTAATATTTAAAAAACAGTTAAACCTTAACATAGAATAGATGTGTGTCAATATGATGTTGATTATTTATATATATATATATATTCATAATTTAATTAATTGGTATAGACCAAAAGTTTGGACACTTTCACATTCAATGAGTGCCCTTTCTTTTCATGACTATTGACCGTAGATTCACACCAGGCTGTGTAAGGGCTATTTGACCAAGAAGGAGAGTGATGGGTTGCTGGTCCAGATGACCTGGCCTCCACAGTCACTGGACCTGAACCAAATCCAGATGGTTTTGGGGTGAGCTGGACCACAGAGTGAAGGCGAAAGAGCCAACAAGTGCTACGCATTACTGGGAACTCCTTCATGTCTGTTGGAAGACCATTTCAGGTCACTACCTCTCAAAGCTCAAACGAATGCCAAGAGTGTGTGAAGCAGTAATCAGAGCAAAAGGTGCAACTTTGAGGAACACAGAATATAAGACATATTTTCAGTTGTTTTCATATTTTTTTTGTATGTACATAATTCCACATCATACGTTTATTATTAAGAGGAATAACCCCCTTTTGAGATGAATCGTCTCGTTTCCGAGGGGGTCCTCAAAATCGAATTCAAAAATGACAGTACAGCAGCAACAGTCAATTATATACAAAGCAAAATTATTACATTAAAAAAAACACAAAAAGAAAAGGGGACAAAAGCTCAACACATTCACTCACACACACACTCAGCTCTCAGGTTACCCACTCCCCCCTAAAACTCCAGTAAAGTACAATACAAAATAAATACATTATAATACTGATGGAAAATACAACTTAACACAACAGAAACGTAATACAACAGAAGACACGTCAAAAGCAATTACAGACAGTTTTAAAGTGCTGTAACACAGCGTGCTTAAACAAAGGGAAGGAGGTGAGGGAGCGAATGGCAGGTAGAAGAAGGTTCCAGTCCGTTGGGGCTTTGTAATAAAAAACATGTTTTCCTATTTCTTTTTTAACACTGGGGATGTGGAAGAAAAGAGTGTCAGTGTCAGTGTGACGAAGATTGTAAGTGGAACTAAATGGTGTAAGATATTGTTTCAGGTATGTGGGATAATTAAAATAATTACATTTGAAAATGAAGAATAACCAGTTGGAGTGTCCTACGTGCAGGCATGAGGACCAGGACAGTTGGTGAAACATGTCACAGCGTGGGCAGCGCAGAGCAAACCTACTCCAGCTGTTATAGACAGTATTGAGGGGATGGAGACATGTGGCGGTTGCATTTTGATTAACAATGTCGGCATAATCAAGGATTTGATGTAATAAATGAGAAAAAAGCCTTTTCCTGACAGAAAAATTACACATGAGTTAATAGTTTTGAGGCCTTCAGTGTGAATCTACAATTTTCATAGTCATGAAAATAAATATCTCTTTGAATAAGGTGTGTCCAAACTTATGGTCTGTACTGTGTGTGTGTATTATATATATATATATATATATATATATATATATTACACATACTATGAATTTTCTTAACAGCAGAACCTGTTGCTGAGGCCCCACAAGAGGAGCCTCCAGCTGTAGTAGAGGAGGGTAAGATGAAAGGGAAAAGACCTGTACAGTGAACATAATTGATTGACTGCGGAACCTTCCGCAGTCATTGATTGACTGCGGAACCTTCCGCAGTCAACCATTGGTTTTGTATTTCTTTATTCCGTCATTTTTTTTGACACGTTTCACAGCTTTCACATTTTCAACAATTTCCACAAGTTATACATCAAAACGTTCCACATGTTTGGGAGATTATTGCTATTACTTTTGGGACTTCAGCGATTTCCGGTTTTTCCGCAATCGGACAAAAATCTGCATTGAGAATTCTGCAATGCATTTTAATAGGCCCATGCATTTTAATAGGACTTCAGCTCTTTCAGACATTTCTACAGTTTCAATGATTCAACAGTTTCAAGGACTTCAACAGTTTCAAGGACTTCAGCAGTTTCAAGGACTTCAGCAGTTTCAAGGACTTCAGCAGTTTCAAGGACTTCAGTGTAATCATGCAACCTAATAGGGATTTTTCCATGTAAACCAGTATAATGCAACTTAATAGGGATTTTTCCATGTAAACCAGTATAATGCAACTTAATAGGGTTTTTTCATGTAAACCAGTATAATGCAACTTAATAGGGTTTTTTTTCATGTAAACCAGTATAATGCAACTTAATGGGGATTTTTCCATGTAAACCAGTATAATGCAACTTAATAGGGGTTTTTACATGTAAACCAGTATAATGCAACTTAATAGGGTTTTTTCCATGTAAACCAGTATAATGCAACTTAATAGGGTTTTTTCCATGTAAACCAGTACAATGCAACTTAATAGGGATTTTTCCATGTAAACCAGTATAATGCAACTTAATGGGGATTTTTCCATGTAAACCAGTATAATGCAACTTAATGGGGATTTTTCCATGTAAACCAGTATTATGCAACTTAATAGGGATTTTTCCATGTAAACCAGTATAATGCAACTTAATAGGGATTTTTCCATGTAAACCAGTATAATGCAACTTAATGGGGATTTTTCCATGTAAACCAGTATTATGCAACTTAATAGGGATTTTTCCATGTAAACCAGTATAATGCAACTTAATAGGGTTTTTTTCATGTAAACCAGTATAATGCAACTTAATAGGGTTTTTACATGTAAACCAGTATAATGGAACTTAATAGGGGTTTTTACATGTAAACCAGTATAATGGAACTTAATAGGGGTTTTTACATGTAAACCAGTATAATGCAACTTAATAAGGATTTTTACATGTAAACCACTATAATGTAACCTAATAGGGGTTTTTACATGTAAACCAGTATAAAGCAACTTAATAGGGATTTGTACATGTAAACCAGTATAATGCAACCTAATAGGGATTTTTCCATGTAAACCAGTATAATGCAACTTAATAGGGATTTTTCCATGTAAACCAGTATAATGCAACTTAATAGGGATTTTTCCATGTAAACCAGTATAATGCAACTTAATAGGGGTTTTTACATGTAAACCAGTATAAAGGATAACAGTTTAAAGGATATCAGGAGCTTCAAATACTTCAGGAGTTTCAAAGATGTTTAAAGTATTTTAACAGTTTCAAGGATTTCAAGGATTTTTCAGCTAAATTCCACATTAGATCTGTTCCGCAGTCAATCGCAATGGCTTCAGCCATTGCAAGTTTCTAGTTATCATAGGAGTTATTTTTTGTGTTTTTGCTTTAACATTGTTATGGCAGAATCACCGGCTCCTCCTGAGCCACTAGCTGAAGTGTTAGAGACTCCTGCAGCAGTTGTAGAAAGTGGTAAGAAGCATTGTTGATGTGAACGGTTATGCATGCTTGCATGTTCATATTTTCTGTGTTGATGAATGAGCACTTACTTGTTTACTCATCTGCACATCAAACTGTTCTCTTTTTTTCCATTAACCTCACCATTTTGAATTTGCCTGCTCTTTTAAAGGTCAACAGTGTTTTGTACCCTGGTACACAAGACTTATCAACTTTTATTTCCAACCCCTTCACCCCTTTTTCTTGGTTCTAACCCAAAGAAGTCAATGTAATGTGTGTTCTATTATTTCCTTATAGGTATTGAGTATGGATGTGCACTGCAGAGTATATGACGATATAATTTACATAAAATATATGGGTCACAAATGCAATTGGAATATTTCTCCATGCCAAACTGCATTTTTTTCTTTTTCATTGAAAGTAACCAATAAACTTGGAATACTGTATGCATCTAAAATATCATAATTGTATTCCACAGTCGACTCGTCAGTGTTGGACACCATTTTAAAACCTGGTGCACTGCTAGAAACATTTTGTATAATATTGATTCAGATTGATTTTGAAATCGTGAAATATTGCTGAACAGTTTTTAGCACTCCTTGCACTGAGCACTGTGTCTCCTCTTTTCTGCACGTCTCAACCTAATTCTGAATGTAAAGTCTGATTGTGAATTTTACAGTTGTGCATGGCTAACCCAGACTGTTTTTCAGCTGCAGATAAAGAGGCACCTCCACCTGCTCCTGAACCGGAAACCATCCAGGGTGAGATTTATTTATTTATGGTCAGGTGGCACAGATTGGCAGACTCACTTCTATCAGTCTTCCCCAAGGTATCCGTTGGATTATACCTCCACTTTGTTGGAAAATGAGCATCCAAAAAAGTTGAAAGTACTAATACACCCTGAACTTTTTCACATTTTGTCATGTGTACAACCATAAACCATTTAAACTAAAAGTTTAAACAACAGACAACAGTGAAGTGAAAGCAAATAGAAAAATTATTGTTATTTAAAAAAAAAAAAAAAAGAAAACCAAATAGTTGGATATGCCCCCCATTCACTGGGGATGGTGCGCTCAGGACGATGAGCAGTGCTATGTTTGCGCCATACGTTTCCAGGCACCTTCACAAACTTCAAACGGGAGCCTCTTTTCAATAATGGCCTCCTTCTTCCCACTTGTCCATAAAGGCCAGATTTGTGTAGAGTACAACTGTGAGTTCTCCCCAGACAGATTTCTCCAAATCAGCGGCAGTACTTTGCAGCTCTTTCAGAGTCATCTTGGGGCACTTGGTTGCCTTTCTGACCAGTGTTCTCCTTGTTCAATCTACTAGTTTAGGTGGACGGCCGTGTTTTGGTGAGTTCACAGTGGTGCTATACTCTTTCCATTTCCAAATGATGGATTGAATAGTGCTCCGTGAGATTTTAAAATCTTAGTATAACTTGGTATAAATTAACTCTACTTTAAACTTCTCCACAACTTTACCCCTGACCTCTCTGGTGTGCTCATGATGTTTAGTGACAATGCACTCCGACCATTGCTCTGAGGCCCTCACAGAACAGTTGTATTTATCATTCATAATGAACATTCATCAGACATTAGGAGGCAAATTAATGCACTTAGACAAAATCGCTTTTGTTTTCAATCCGCAGTTGTCTGTTAATTGTGTGTGAACTTTCAGTAAAATAATCTAAATAAAATCTTTGTTTACGGTTGTAAATCTGACAAAATATGCAAAAGGAGGTTTAGTACTTTTGAGAGGCACTGTACATGAGGCTGCTTTATTATTATCATTAGATTAATAGTTTAATCTTTGTTTAGTTAACACGGGTCACAAAATTCATTCTGACTGCTCATGTTTTATTCCAGAGGTTGCAGCTGAATCTTTAGTTGAGAGCCCCCCAGTGGCTGAGCCGGCTGCTGCATCGGAGACTGGTAATAATCTTATATATGATTTGTATTGTTTGACAAAAAATGCGTTTAATTGAATGATATGTATTTAATCTTTACAATAATGTATTCTCATATTTTTACGATGTCTTTTAAAAATGGCATCTATGTAAAAGTGTTTTTGTCTTTCCATTAGTACCAGCCCTGCCCACAATCCCGTCCCACGCTCCCTACCTTCTTATTGGGGGTGGTACTGCCTCTTTTGCTGCTGCCCGCTCCATTCGGGCCCGAGATCCAGGGGCTAAAGTAAGTTATTCTTGTGAAATAGTTAAAATAGATGTTGCATTTTCACAATTATTACTGATCCATTGAATAAGAAAATTGTATTAAGTCATTCATTTCAACCCAAACTCTAAAATTAATATGTTCATATGTGACATAAACTTTGATCCAGCACTTGTTCAGGGGCAATCTTTACATAATTATTTGTAGTGGTGCCAGGTTTACAAAAGTGAGCCTACAGATCAGTGGGTAGACAAACACATAATAATAATGTATATAGGCGAAATAATGTTTTTAAACATAATTTAGAAATGTATGGTGCACAGTTTTTTATGTACTGTGTTTCTTGAAGGTATTGATTGTGACGGATGAGCCTGACCTCCCATACATGAGACCCCCTCTGTCCAAGGAGCTGTGGTTCTCCGATGATCCGAGTGTAACCGAAACCTTGCGCTTCAAGCAGTGGAATGGCAAAGAAAGAAGGTGATTTTTGGGATTTAGCATGAACCTATTTCTTACCTTTCTCAACTTTTTAAAAGGTATTCTTTTGGTTCACATTATCAAACTGCTACACAATAAAAAAACACACTCGACATACAGTGCCTTGCGACACTTGCGGCCTTGCGACACTTCCTTGATTGAGATGAAAGTTTGGAGGGACGGCCGGGTCTTTGTAGATTTGCAGTGGTCTGATACTCCTTCCATTTCAATATAATTGCTTGCACAGTGCTCCTTGAGATGTTTAACGCTTGGGAAATCTGTTTGTATCCGAATCAGGTTTTAAACTTCTCCACAACAGTATCTCGTACCTGCCTGGTGTGTTCCTTTGTCTTCATGGTTCTCTCTGCGCTTTAAACAGAACCCTGAGACTATCAAAGAGCAGGTGCATTTATAGGAGACATGATTACACACAGGTGCATTCTATTTATCATCATCAGTCATTTAGAACAACATTGGATCATTCAAAGATCCTCACTGAACTTCTGGAGTGAGTTTGCTGCACTGAAAGTAAAGGGGCCAAATAATATTGCACGCCCCACTTTTCAGTTTTTTATTTGTTAAAAAAGTTTAAATTATCCAATAAATTCACGATTGTGTCCCACTTGTTGTTGATTCATGACAACAAATTACAATTTTATATCTTTATGTTTGAAGACTGAAATATGGCGAAATGTTGAAAGGTTCAAGGGGGCCGAATACTTTCGCAAGGCACTGTATATATACATTTAACAATGGTGTAGGTTTGGTTCCAATCTTGGTGGGGACATTCACTACGACCTGAGTCTACACCCATTGACACGGGGTCCAGAGTTTCTCCCCCAGAATTTGTTGTGTAATCACACACTATATTTGCAATAGTGTGTCGCCTTCTATACTAAACTCAGCTGTAGACTGAATGAGAAGCAGTTAAGGATTTTTTCTAATCGTTAAAACAAAATCAATTGGATCAGAACTTCTGAATTTTGTGTTGCGTTCATTCTAACTTTGTCCACAAGATGGCTTAAATGTTTATAGTAAATAAGATAGTAAATATATCCTGTATTCAGGATCAGGCTGATATGGTTTACAACCTATCTCAAATATGCTGTCCCTGGCACTTTCTTGAGAGTGACTCTCATTGGCTGCCTCCTAAATAGCAAATACACTGTTATGAAACTTTAAAAAATCCCATATTTTATCTTCATAATTCCAGCCTCATCTGAAGCCCAGCTTCGATATCTGCCTGCACTACATCTTCCCTGAATACCTGAGTTCCCTATAATAAATAAAACACATGTAGTGCATTAAACAAATCAGATCTAAGCATATACAAAATAAAACCACCAACAAAACCAAATAAATACTTTCAACCTCACCTGAAGCCCTGAAGGTCCAGCCACTTCCTCATCCTCTACCAGCACTGCACATTCCCTGTTTGTCTGACTTTCCTTTATGGTATTAATAAAAACACACATTCTACATTGAATAAAATGAAACCTAGGCATGGTACACCAGTCGCTAAATATCTCATGAAACTAGGATTGGTTGATGGGTCTAAGATTTTAACTGCTTAACCCTAACCTCACCTGGAGTCCTGTCTTGTCCTTGTCTTTATCTCCTTCTTGAATTTCCATTATATCTCTCAGTGTCCTATATTTAGTAAAAGATTTCAGACAACACTTTTTGCATCATTATAGTAGTAAAATATGTTGTAATTGGCATAGGTAATTTCCAACCAAATGATGTTCTTTAACTTTAGTATGATTCTATACTGACTTAAACCTAATCCAAATCTACATAATAGCCCTCACCTGAGGCTCTAACAGTTCAGGAACTGCTCTCGATACTTGAAATAAATCATGCTCTGATCTTTCAATTTCCTATAATAAATAAAAACAGAGGAGAAAATAATGAATTAGAATCTACAGTGAGTAGCTCACTACATTGTTTGACATATACGATCAATCTCTAAAAACAATTCATAGTCCCATGCATACCTACAAAATTCCAACCTCACCTGATGCACTGAAGGGCCTGTTGCTTCTACCTCAACATTCCCTATATTGTTCTCTCTTGTTGGTTGAGTTTCCTATGTATGTTAACAGAAGATTAATCATCACAATTCATAATTTGCTATTACTTGTGCTTTCTCTTACTTACTTTCCAACTGTTAAAAAAGCTCCTGATATCTTTTATCTTTTTTTGTGGAGGTGGCATTTTTTCTAAATTATATAAGAAGGTATAGACAATCAAAAACAGACATTCATATACATGAACTGCAGAATCATTTATATAACTTGGCCAATGTCAAAAGTTACATAGTATTTCTCAATACAATGAGTTAACAAGAGTTTGGCAATAAGTAACAGTGTGGATTTTTCTATATTTTCTTTTTTTTATTCCACTCTCTACCCAAAAAGGCAAGTAATGACTCACAGGGTTCTCAAGTATTCAAAATAAAAACTTAAATGACCTGTTGTGGTGTGTTTTGCGCACAACCAGCATGCATCGTTAACGCAATGGAAAATTTAGGTATCCGAGCTTTAATTTCGGGAGCGCTGGTTGCGCTTTGGGAAGAGTCAGGGGAGAGACATGTCAGAGACACAGGGGAGAAACGCGGGAGATACGAGGGAGACCCGCACTTGCAACATGGTTCTGTCTGCATATGGTCCGAGCTCGGTACCATGTTAGAGCTGTGCTTTCACTGAGCGCCGCGGCTGTCATTACAAAGCGGCAGCAGCTGCAACAGGACGTGCACATTCGAGTTCATCGATTGAATGTGCTTAGAGCAAATAACAGCAAGTGCCCGCTGTCACACATTTCACAGAAATTACATTATCAGCAGATAAAGGTTGTAAATCGTGGATCCGTGGAATATTTTCATCACTAGTTTATCCTGATTCACACAACACACCCACTTATACATTTTGGATAGTAAGAGCACAATAAGTATTTTTTCAGCCTTTCAACCAACCTGTTTCTTTATTGGAGCCAGTTCTGTTCTGTCTCTGTGCCGTGTGAGCTCCTCGGAACATTAAACAGTGCGCTGACAGATTAGAAATAACGTAAGTACTTTGAATGGTAATAGATCTACAGTACTTTCCTCTGATTACTCACGTGCTACAACGCTCAGGGAACGAAAAAAAACACTTGCTTCACGCTGGCTAACTTTTAAAAATTAAACAGTCGCTCAGTGCTTCAGTTTGGCGCTGAAGAAGACAGCCAATCACTGCAGAGAACGGAACGGGTCACGTGCTGCTGCTGCTGCTGTTGCTCTGGAGGCGAGGAGGAGGCGCGACGTATGCACAAACGGAAGACATGTGTCCCGGACCGTCCGGGTCACGGGACATCATGTCATTTTGGTGGGGACTTTTTAGTCCTCACCAAATATTGGTGGGGACATGTCCCCATGGTCCCCACGCAAACCTACGCCCTTGCATTTAATGCATGAAAACAAAAAATAGATTAACAGTGCGATATAAGTGCACAGGTATTGCATTTATCACTTGTTAGTGATAAAAAAAAAAGGAAAAAAGCAATACAAATGAAAAATTGGTCATTTGCAAGAGACGGATCTCATTTCAACCTCGTCTTGAAAGTGGTCAAAGTAGTGTTTTGTGTCAGAATTTTGGTGCATGAAATTGAAACGCTGACCCCCCATGTTTAGTACTGTCAGGAGGCCAGTCCCTGTGCTCCTCAGAGTCCGAGTTGGTTCATTTGGCCCTAACATGTCTCTGATTTGTAGGAATGAACAGGTTTTGTTTGGCCAAATCTACCATAAAAGGTTATCAAAGTTCATGTCAAAGTATATTTTTTATAAATGAAAAATAACGTTATAGACCAAAAATGGACTTGAAAAAACACTTTATTCCTGCCACCAACAAGCTCCGTATATTTTCCAAGTAAATCGTAAAAATATGATCTATTTGTGTTGCAGCATCTACTTTCAGCCGTCTTCATTCTACGTCAACCCCGAAGACCTGAGCGCTAAGGAGAACGGAGGTGTGGCTGTTCTTACTGGGAAAAAGGTACATGCACATATACGGACATTTACTGCAGCTTAAAGTTTTTATTTACACAACTGAATATATTTGTTTTAGGTTATTCAAATGGATGTGAGGGGAAACAAAGTTAAGTTGGATGATGACACTGAGATCTCGTATGACAAATGTTTGATTGCCACTGGTAAGTTATCCACTTAATTTGCAAATGTAGGTCATTCCTTTTTGTGCACATTGCAATGTTGTGTGTGCAGGCGGCATACCAAGAAATCTTCAGGTCATTGAAAAGGCAGGTGATGAGGTGATGAAAAGGACAACTCTGTTCCGCAAGGTTGGTAAATAGCCACTAGAGGGCAGTAGTGTCAACCTACATCGCACCATGGAACTAATTGTTACTAAAAATATCTCTTTTTATGGACAGATAGAGGATTTTAAATCTTTGGGCAATGTCTCCAGAAATGTCAAATCTATTACAATAATTGGTGGAGGGTTCTTGGGCAGTGAAATTGCATGTGCACTGGGTCGGCGATGTGAGTAGACTTTTTTTTTTGGGGGGATTTTTTTTTAAATCAGGAGTGAGTTCTTGACTTGTGTGTAAAATCATGTGTATTTTATTTAGCGGCTGAGACGGACCTTGAGGTCGTCCAAATGTTCCCAGAGAAAGGTAACATGGGAAAAGTACTGCCAGAGTATTTGAGCAACTGGACGACAGAGAAAGTCAAGAGAGGTTAGTCTAAAGTCTATAAGTGTAGATAAGTGTATAGAGCTATGTGATTTTGACATATATTTTCAGAGGGTGTAAAGGTCCTCCCTGAGGCTTTAGTCAAATCGGTGTCCTTCAAAGATGATAAATTGGAAATCCTATTGAAGGATGGGCGTCAGGTTTGTGTCATTAATGGCCAATTCTTTTCATTTTAACTTCCCTTTAAATATGTTATCAAATGATTGCTCACTCTCTCGCAGGTGAAAACTGATCACATTGTTGCAGCAGTCGGACTAGAGCCCAATGTTGACCTTGCCAAGTCTGCTGGTCTGGAGGTGGACTCGGACTTTGGGGGCTACAGGGTCAATGCAGAGTTGCAGTCCAGATCAAATATTTGGGTGGTGAGTTATTTATTATGAACTTGACTGAGCTTTGATGTTCCCTCATCAAAACTCGAGCCTAATCCATGCTAATATCAGAATAGTAATTACTGACAGATGGTTTTAAGCAAATGAATGCCCTCCAGTTAAGTTTTGAGCTTTTATTGATTGACTGCGGAACCTTCCGCAGTCAACCATTGGTTTTGTATTTCTTTATTCCGTCATTTTTTTTGACACGTTTCACAGCTTTCACATTTTCAACAATTTCCACAAGTTATACATCAAAACGTTCCACATGTTTGGGAGATTATTGCTATTACTTTTGGGACTTCAGCGATTTCCGGTTTTTCCGCAATCGGACAAAAATCTGCATTGAGAATTCTGCAATGCATTTTAATAGGCCCATGCATTTTAATAGGACTTCAGCTCTTTCAGACATTTCTACAGTTTCAATGATTCAACAGTTTCAAGGATTCAACAGTTTCAAGGATTTCAGCAGTTTCAAGATTTCAAGAGTTTCAAGGACTTCAACAGTTTCAAGGACTTCAGCAGTTTCAAGGACTTCAGCAGTTTCAAGGACTTCAGCAGTTTCAAGGACTTCAGTGTAATCATGCAACCTAATAGGGATTTTTCCATGTAAACCAGTATAATGCAACTTAATAGGGATTTTTCCATGTAAACCAGTATAATGCAACTTAATAGGGTTTTTTCATGTAAACCAGTATAATGCAACTTAATAGGGTTTTTTTTCATGTAAACCAGTATAATGCAACTTAATGGGGATTTTTCCATGTAAACCAGTATAATGCAACTTAATAGGGGTTTTTACATGTAAACCAGTATAATGCAACTTAATAGGGTTTTTTCCATGTAAACCAGTATAATGCAACTTAATAGGGTTTTTTCCATGTAAACCAGTACAATGCAACTTAATAGGGATTTTTCCATGTAAACCAGTATAATGCAACTTAATGGGGATTTTTCCATGTAAACCAGTATAATGCAACTTAATGGGGATTTTTCCATGTAAACCAGTATTATGCAACTTAATAGGGATTTTTCCATGTAAACCAGTATAATGCAACTTAATAGGGATTTTTCCATGTAAACCAGTATAATGCAACTTAATGGGGATTTTTCCATGTAAACCAGTATTATGCAACTTAATAGGGATTTTTCCATGTAAACCAGTATAATGCAACTTAATAGGGTTTTTTTCATGTAAACCAGTATAATGCAACTTAATAGGGTTTTTACATGTAAACCAGTATAATGGAACTTAATAGGGGTTTTTACATGTAAACCAGTATAATGGAACTTAATAGGGGTTTTTACATGTAAACCAGTATAATGCAACTTAATAAGGATTTTTACATGTAAACCACTATAATGTAACCTAATAGGGGTTTTTACATGTAAACCAGTATAAAGCAACTTAATAGGGATTTGTACATGTAAACCAGTATAATGCAACCTAATAGGGATTTTTCCATGTAAACCAGTATAATGCAACTTAATAGGGATTTTTCCATGTAAACCAGTATAATGCAACTTAATAGGGATTTTTCCATGTAAACCAGTATAATGCAACTTAATAGGGTTTTTTCATGTAAACCAGTATAATGCAACTTAATAGGGATTTTTCCATGTAAACCAGTATAATGCAACTTAATAGGGGTTTTTACATGTAAACCAGTATAATGCAACTTAATAGGGGTTTTTCCATGTAAACCAGTATAATGCAACTTAATAGGGTTTTTTTCATGTAAACCAGTATAATGCAACTTAATAGGGATTTTTCCATGTAAACCAGTATAATGCAACTTAATAGGGATATTTCCATGTAAACCAGTATAATGCAACTTAATAGGGATTTTTCCATGTAAACCAGTATAATGCAACTTAATAGGGATTTTTCCATGTAAACCAGTATAATGCAACTTAATAGGGGTTTTTACATGTAAACCAGTATAATGGAACTTAATAGGGGTTTTTACATGTAAACCAGTATAATGCAACTTAATAAGGATTTTTACATGTAAACCACTATAATGTAACCTAATAGGGGTTTTTACATGTAAACCAGTATAAAGCAACTTAATAGGGATTTGTACATGTAAACCAGTATAATGCAACCTAATAGGGATTTTTCCATGTAAACCAGTATAATGCAACTTAATAGGGATTTTTCCATGTAAACCAGTATAATGCAACTTAATAGGGATTTTTCCATGTAAACCAGTATAATGCAACTTAATAGGGTTTTTTCATGTAAACCAGTATAATGCAACTTAATAGGGTTTTTTTCATGTAAACCAGTATAATGCAACTTAATGGGGATTTTTCCATGTAAACCAGTATTATGCAACTTAATAGGGATTTTTCCATGTAAACCAGTATAATGCAACTTAATAGGGTTTTTTTCATGTTAACCAGTATAATGCAACTTAATAGGGTTTTTTTCATGTAAACCAGTATAATGCAACTTAATAGGGTTTTTTCATGTATAATGCAACCTAATAGGTTGCATTATACCACCAGACCAAGACCCAAACGAAGACTCAGACCACCACCAGATAATGACCACAGACCAGGTTTCCTTAGTTACAGGAACCAAATTGTTTCAGCGGTGAGGGGATTTTTCAGTTTCAAGGACACTTTCAATACATTCAGTAGTTTCAAGGATTTCAGCTGTTTAAGAATTTAACCAGTTTCAAGGATATCAGGAGGTTCAAGGATTTCAGGAGTTTCCACACTTTCAACAGTTTCCAGGTTTAAAAAAGTTTCAAGGATTTCAGGAGTTTCAATGTTTCAACAGTTTCAAGGATTTCAGGAGTTTAAAGGTTTCAACAATTTCAAGGACTTCAGGAGTTTCAAATATCTATCAAGTATTTTAACAGTTTCAAGGCTTTTTAAAGGATTTCAAGGATTTTTTTTAGCAGATTTCCACATTAGATCTGTTCCGCAGTCAATCGCAATGGCTTCAGCCATTGCAAGTTTCTAGTTCAGGGATACTGTCTTATTGTAAATAGATTTAAATGGCTCGCTTTAGGGGTTGTATCTCCAAACGGTCTGCATGTAGATGGTGCTATATCTTGATTGTGGCTGGTAGACTGACTGACTGTATGTAATGTCTTTGACCTTCAAAAAAAACTCAACATAATCATCACTTTTTAATATTTGTTCTATTAAACTAAATGTGTGTAATACTGCTATTTCTTATGGTAATTATGTAAGTTTGGACCATGACCTTGTACAGTTCTAGTATTTGTATATGGTGTATATTCTTTGTTCAGGCTGGAGATGCCGCATGCTTCTATGACATCCGACTGGGCCGGCGGCGAGTGGAGCACCACGACCATGCGGTTGTGAGTGGACGTCTGGCAGGAGAAAATATGACCGGTGCAAGCAAGCCCTACTGGCATCAGTCGATGTTCTGGTTAGTACTGATGCTGCTCTAAAGCAGAGGACTAAGCAGCAGTGTTTAAATGCACTGTAGCATGCAAATGTACAAAACATTTTAAATGGTTAACTATTGATGCCTGTTGTGACCTCCTAACTGTTATGTATAAAAATTTTAAGTGCTCTCACAAGGCCATTACTGGAGAATATGACCCAGCTGCACAAGTTCAGTTTAGCTTGGAGTGCTGCATTTTATGCCAATTATAACTGCATTTAACAGCTGCTGAAAGGCAGCACCTCACTGACTTCGTGGCAACTAAAGTCAATACAACATCGGGGTCACCTGGTGTTTTTCTAGTGCTTTCCATTAAGCTATGATTCATCGTCCCTTTAGTTAAAACTTGTCAACTGTCTATCAAATAAATGAAAAAGACCTGGCATTGCTGATTGTAAAAAGTGTTGCTTTAATCAGAAACAAAAAAATACCGTAAGGGGTTCCATCAGCCTTTTTGAGTACTATCAACTTCAGCTCTTTATTAAGTAATAAAGAAAATTGAATTCAATTCGACAGAATGCAAAACTATTACTTTGAAGTGATTGATTTACTTATTATTTTAGTGTCCATTCAAAGTAAAACTAACTTGGAGATGATTCATTTACTTAATATTTGTTAACTTAATACGTTTTTTCACTTAAATAAAATCAGTATTGTACAGGGAGCTATGATAATATTATACAGTACTTATTTGTCAACCAAAAATATAAGATAGTGGAAAATGAAGTATATTGTAATGACTTAAAATATTTTACATCAAAGTTTGGTCTGATTCACTTATTACAGTGTAGTACTTGGTGACATTTCTTCTGGCCATAGAGGAGCCTGGAGGTCTGTGGTGCCGGTTCATTACTAAATCTTTTACGAGTGCCCTCTGTGCCCTTTTTGTTTCAAGCTATTTATATAGTTCATTGTTCAAATCTGCTACCAGCACAGAGCTAGGGCCTCTAGTTGAAGTTCAACACTGGAACTGAGTCTGTAATCTGAAAGCTCTAGAAAAATACATTTTCTCCTATACTCTTGTCTTCTACTCCGATCTGCAGAGTTCTCCTTCAATCTGGGAAATACATTTTCAAAATGTTCCCATTGTTTAATGATGTTGCTTATCAGAATCTTACTTACTGGTACCTCTGTATATGTTAAAGGAGTGACCTTGGCCCAGATGTAGGCTACGAAGCCATTGGGATTGTTGACAGCAGTTTACCAACAGTGGGAGTATTTGCTAAGGCTACCCCAAAGGACACACCAAGAGCAGCTACAGAGCAGTCAGGTTGGATTAAAAAAATGTCTCACCTTTGGTTGTTACTTTTTAAATTTGGTGCAAATGCGTAACACTCTTTAGGAACTGGGATCCGCTCTGAAAGTGAAACTGAGGCCACGGCTTCCAGTCCTGTGGCCTCGCCTACACCAACTCCAGTCATGGATCAAAAAGACGAATACGGCAAAGGAGTGATCTTCTACCTGAGGGACAAGGTGGTGGTGGGGATCATCCTCTGGAATGTTTTCAATCGAATGCCTATCGCCCGCAAGGTAGGCTCACTTATACTTCATTTGGGTGGTCTCTTGAAACTTGTGAGGAACCTGTGGTGTGTTATTCAGCATCAGTTATAACGAAGCTAATGTGTGTCATCTATGTGCAGATAATTAAGGACGGAGAAGAACATGCAGATTTGAATGAAGTGGCCAAGCTCTTCAACATTCATGAGGATTAATTATGTGCTGTAAAGGCTGATCAATTACCGATGGGAATTGTTGTAATTTATTACATGTTGCTATTACATGTAGCTTCTGTTTTGTTTGTTACTGTCATCTCTCAAAATAATGGGGGGGGTTCTGCTTTTTATAATTTCCATTCTCTGAAATCTCAGCATAAATTATTTTATGAGAGTTAAGCAGTCTGTCATATACAATCCTGTAATAAAGTTTATTTTTAAATGTATGTCTGTTATTCATTTGAAAAGCACATATTGGTATTTATTGTACATCATTTTAATTTATATATTTTGGTATTTGACTCATGTTCCCAAGTAGAGCACATGGCCCACTTATGCTACAGAGATGCTCAGGCGAGCAGAAACCTCATCCAGGGGTGGGCTTCTTGTTAACAGTGTTATTCACACATTACAGATCTTAGTTGACAGAGTCGTCTCCAACCGTCTCAAGTGTGGGGCCGAACACGTGCCGTCATAACCCCCCTTCTCTGTGTGTTACATTAATTTTACATGAGTAAATGGCTGCACTGCCGCCTCCTTCTGCCAACGGCTGCATGGAAGAACAAACACAGGCTTTCTCCTCTTCTATCACAATTTATACGGCAGTCAGAGAATGAAATATTTAGAAAACTGCACAATAAGGGGTAAATAGTACAAGTGTAAATGTTTCTTTCTTTTACTTCAGATTTATGATTACTGATGTTAACATTGTATTACAAGGAATGAAGAGTGAAACTCTTCTGCCCTATGAATATACATTCATAGGGAGGACGTGGTCAATTGAGTATGGTAAAAACAATTCATGAATATTATCTTATTGCTCCTGATAAAGTGAATATGTGCATGTTAAGAGTGAGGGGGCGGGGACCGTGAGTTGGGACACTTTGAAATATAACGACGCTGTCGCTTTAAATATTCCTCCAGTAATTTATGAAGCATGCGTTTGTCCGTGGAACCCAGATAGGGTGGTAGTCACCCATATGAACACAACACAGAGAAAAGAAACTGAAAAACTTGTGTGGATTGTGAATAATACAACAACAGCAGCAGCAGAGATATTTAGAGCCGCGCATCCTGCGCAGCACCTGCCCTGGAGGAGACGCTCAAACCCGCACAACTTCTTTGTCTTCGACTTAGTGTTTTTTGGTTGTTGATCGTTTAAGGATGCTTATGGACAATATGTATATAATCTGGGCTTCATCAGTCTTTATTCTCCAACAAAGGTAAGTGCTGCGAAAGATCTTTGTGTGAACATGCTCACCAATGTCCAGAAATGTGCACAAATTTGGGACAGTTTGTTTCTGCTAATCCAAGAATTAGTTATAGGTTTAAATATAGATTATTTTACTTCGGATAGTTCGAAACCAAATTATTTTCTTTGCTGTTAAATGTCACTTTTCTTTTGGAGATTTTACATTTTATTTCTATTTGATATGGACTTTATTTTCATAAATGAATAGATATCTTTTTTTATTCACACGTTGAGTCCTCCACCTTTCTTATGATAATGATTGTTTGGATGTGTTCAATGGATTGGAGGATGCTGACCCATTTTCAAAGAAAAATAAGGAAAAAAGTTTATGTATGTTGGTCAAATCAGAACTTAGAAAATGCATCATCTCAATCCTAAATATGTATCTACTTTTATTCTCACATCACTATAATTAAAGTCCTTCTCCTTACTTATGTTAATGATTGTTTGAAAGCGACCCATGCTTAATTCTGACATGATTCTGGTTCTTTCCGATAGCCTCTAACCCCTGAGTGTAATGTGTGTGCTCTAGGTTGATGTCTTGTAAAGAGATGAAGTTCCCCAACAGCAAAGCTCCTCGGCCTCCGTCCCCCTCAGACTTTCTGGACAAACTGATGGGTCGCACATCTGGATACGACGCTCGCATCCGCCCTAACTTTAAAGGTACTGCTCCTGTACACCTGCAGACACACTCACAGATGGCTGTGAATGTGGCAGGCTGGGAGGCAGTGGCGTTTTCACACATGGCTTCCCCCTGCTTTCTTTTTACGCCATTTGTCATCACTGCTCTTACTGACCCACACCCTTAGGTTTTCTACACTGGCTTCTTTCACAAGTGTTTTTCTTCAAAATATCCCTTGCATCTTACCCCACAGGCCTGTTTGTGCTCCATCTCCACCTCATGAGTGAAGCCATATTCTTTCTGACATACTTCCTCCCCTCTCTTTGGGGGTCGTGTTTTATCAATTTTTCATACTTGCTCCACATCCCTGTCAAGAGCACACTGAGTAAATCTCTAGCTGATTATCTATAAATATACTAATGTAACTAAAGAAAAATCAATAAATTATTGCCTCCCACTGAAATATTTAACGTTACAATGGTTGACAGATGGACCGCACTAATGGGAGCAACACACACATACACACACACATACACAAACGCAACATTGTGCGTTACCTGAGTTGCCTCTTCTTTTTCCCTGTTATTTGCATATTTGCTCAAAATGTGTCCATCTCATAAACTCATGTTGTTTTTGGTAGGACCTCCAGTTAATGTCACCTGTAATATCTTCATAAACAGCTTTGGGTCCATCACAGAAACTACTATGGTAAGAATGACCTACTTGCATCATGTACCGTTCACTTAAAAAGGACTCGAGTGTAAATGTGAAGCGTGATTTGAATCTATCCAAAACGTGTGTAGTCTTCATCTTCCATCTCATCTATCTGCAGAAAGCTCCACTGACAGTTCTCCCTATGTATTTTTGTGTCAAGGCCATTTGGAGCAACTTAGCTGACGTGTGTTCTCCTCACATATGAGCAAAGTCAAAAGTGTAACAAAGTCGTGTGTGTGGGACTCACTTGTTGACGCTTTAGGACTTGATGATGATATTGCTTTAATCTAATTTTTATACTCAAGCATGAGGTCTTACGTATTAATGAGGTCCAGTGAAACGTGCATTTGGACTGAAAAGTGCGTCTCTATTTTGGGAATTCGGAACTTGCCTTAAAAGAACTGACAGCTTAATTTGCAATTTAGCGTAAAATTCTCACAGAGCTTTCTTACTGTTGTTTTGTCAGAAAGATATCTCTGCGCACGCTAAAATTAAAGGCTTTTATACCGTATTCATTTTTCCTTTTTGCATGTGATTATTTTATTGCACTATGAAAATAATGTATTGTGTATTTTTGTTGCTTTGATTGTCCTGAATCTGTATACAGTAATGGTATTATTTTTTACAAAAATATTATACAAAGAAATATCCATAAATATTGTTTCCATAATCACCTGTTTGAGCTTTTATGATTATTTACTTTCTCTCTCTTTCTGTATTTTCTACCCGCCAGGATTACCGGCTTAATGTATTTTTGCGGCAGCAGTGGAATGACCCTCGTTTGGCCTACAAGGAATACCCCGACGACTCTTTGGACTTGGACCCTTCTATGTTAGACTCCATCTGGAAACCAGATCTGTTCTTTGCCAACGAGAAGGGGGCAAACTTTCACGAGGTTACCACAGACAACAAACTGCTGCGGATCTTTCAGAATGGGAACGTCCTCTACAGCATCAGGTATGGTGGAAAACATCCAAAGGTGCAGAGGCAGGTATTGTATTTAGAGGGGCACTCTCTGGATGTGGGCTTATGTGACACGACAATGGCCTTAACCACGAGGCATCAGAGATGACTGAGGAGTGCGATGAGTAAGACTGAATCACAGCCCGACCTTCATCAGTCGACCCACTTAAACATGTTGAAAACTGTACAAACAAAGTGTGTTCAATGGATTGGAAAATGCTGACCCATTTCCAATTAAACATGCACACCGCAAAATGTAAAGGACGTGTATTGCTCAGTGTTTGCGTTCATCAACATGAAAGTTGCTGGTTAGAACTGAGCACAGATCATTGCATGCTGCCATTGTGTCCTTGAGCAAGACGCATCACTTGCCTACGTTCTTGTTCATGGATTCTGACACAAACACAGCATGAAATGAACCATTGGCTACAATTTCACGTACTTATAGTCTGTGTTTTATTAATATGCACTTCCCCAACCAAATGAATTAATGATATTTGTATTAAATCCAGCACTCAGCTAGATTTAGCTCAAGCTAAAATAAATGGAGAGATGAATAAACTCCAATTTGTATCGTTAATCATGACCATTTTTATTGGTAACATCTATTTTATGACGTAAATAGCCTTCTTATTTAATTTTGGTGTTATGTTGAGAGTCTGCTGTTCTTTTGCCTGTGACTGGTCACTGAGAACAACAAGGAGTGTGCTTTGTTTTACACTCACAATAAACACATTTTCCATCTTCAAAATGAGATCTTTTTAACAAATGCCGCCACAGTTTTGAGTTTTCAGTTCAATTATAGAAATATGACATACACTGATATTTATGTCAACATTTCAGTTTGAAGATTGCATATTTCTGCCTTCTGTCTGTTTGGGTTTTCTCCATGTGCTTCAGTGCGAGGCATAATTATTATTGTTATCATTAATATTGTTATTATTATGAACTCTTATACTCTTACATGCCTTTATATATTTTGATTGACATCACTTTCCCTTGAGTTATCCAGTGTGTTGTATGAGCACAGATTTTCAACAAATTCTCCAGGGTAAAGAAAAATCAGGTCAGTAGTGCGGTGCCAAGGCAAAGATTTATTGTAGCGTAAGGCAATGTAGATATAATTAGAATTGTTTTAAAGCAATATTTTCGTTTCAGTTTAACCAATAGATTCTGATGCTCAAGGAAGGCAGTGACCTCTAACTACAGGGCATGAATCCACTGCATGGCTGTGCCGGTTCAAAGAACAGCCTCATATGGATGTGTAAAAGTTTACTAACCCGCACTACTCAGCCATGACGCTTCAATGTCTTCACCAGAACAAAAGCAAATGTAGCATAATCTGTCATACGCCTTGTGAGTCAGCATAGAAAGTGTGTCAGCTGTGGAAATACATGCCTTGTTTTTATTTGAATGGTGAAATGACTTGTATGATTTTACTGTGTTGGGATGTTTCTTCTTGACAGTATGACTGTATGTGACATACAGTACAGTGTCATCCCTTGTCTAGTTTTACTTCGAGAATGATTACAGACAAATCCAATGATTTTATCTGGCTGTATCTAGTTGGCATGGCTGTTGACTTGGGGCTGGAATATGTGAATGACATGATGTATGATTGTTGCCGCTGCAGGCTGAGGGGTCTGGATGTGGGGAAAGCAACGAGACAAAAACCTGTTTGTTTTATGTTTTAGATTAACTCTTATCCTCTCCTGTCCCATGGATCTCAAGAACTTCCCCATGGACAGCCAGACCTGTACAATGCAACTTGAAAGCTGTAAGTAGAGGTCATTGTTGACTGATGTGATGAGAGAAAACAAAACAATGTCAGATATTATTGTAATTCACATGCTGTATTTACTGTAGACAGCATTAGCAGGACAATAATAATTGACTGTATGATTGTTGGATATTTAGTTCTGGAAAAGTTCTCCTGTTTTTGTTTTGTTTTTTCTCTTTTTTTTCAACCAATATTACATTTTTTGCTCAATCCCACAAAGTTGATAGAGGGGATTTTTAAAGTAAATTATATTTGTATTGCCCTGTACAAAGGGCAATACAAATGACTTGGGTCAAACATTTTGGGTGCCACCCCATGCTTCAGAGTTGGATGTTGTCACCTGGCTTCCACACGTCCCCTTATGGCCACACAGTTTCACTTCAGACCACTGGACATCTGTCCTGTTCATGTTTCCTTTGGAATAATGGCATCTTCCTCGCTGAGTCCTCATTCAGTCCATGTTTGTACATGACCCTTTGTACTGTGGCCACATTCTTACCAGCTTCAGCCGCCATCTTCACAAGGTCTTTCGTTTTTGTCCTGGGGTTTATTTGAACCAGGGATGTAATTAATGATTATTGAATCCTTCAATTAATCGATCAATAGTTTAGAACTCAGATATGATATTTTATCTCAGTTTGACCCCATTAAATCCACCAGAGGACATCCAAATAGATTTTCCCTGAACAGTTTTATCAGTAAAATGAGACGTTTAGAATCTTTTTTCATGTAATTGCTTCTCTGTTGAGCCTTAACTTCACATCTTTCGGCACATACATATTTGGAAGTCTGTTCATAGAGCAGCTAATTATTAATCAATAACAAAAATAGTTGTGCTTTTGTGTTTATAAACTCAAATTGAACATTATTTATACGTATTGATGTGACACATTTCTTTATTTTATTTCTTTATTGATTTATTTGATAGGGACAACTGAATTTAAATTTTTTACACACACAAAAAGCATAACAACACACACTGAGGTTCAGTGCAAAGCCAGCTGTCTGATTATGTCTAAGTCAATTTGTAGATGAGTAACAGGGAAACAATATTCCCATTCTTCTTCATAAGTAATCTTCCCAGCATCTTCTCATTAGCAACATTTTCAATATTTTCTTTTAATCCAAAATCTAAGTGTTGGGGTATGAGGGTTTTTAACATAGGTGTAAGCTGAGATGGGCACATCTCACCAGTGCAGTGTTTAAAACTCTAAAAATATCCATTTTCTAATCATTTTTTATTCGTAAGCGTTCTTCATACAGTAAATGCAACCATCCTAAGGAAAACATGAGGCTGAGTGCAGGTGTAACCAAACAATCTGAGGAAATACCATGAGCAGCACCAGGAGCAGAGGGCCACCTGCAGAGGGCCACTTGCAGAGGGCCACCTGCAGAGGGCCACCTGCAGAGGGCCACCTGCAGAGGGCCACCTGCAGAGGGCCACCTGCAGAGGGCCACCTGCAGAGGGCCACCTGCAGAGGGCCACCTGCAGAGGGCCACCTGCAGAGGGCCACCTGCAGAGGGCCAGCTGCAGGGGGGGGGCCCCGGATGGGGACCAGCTCCCAGTGCAGAGGGCTCCTCCAGGGGACACACTGGGGATACTATAATTATGTAAATGATCGAGTACAGAATTATGTTGAAAAATAGCATAAATAATAATAATAGAGTGGATAAAATAAAGTAAAATAAATAAAAAATATAGATAATATATATTAATTCACAGTGAATCTCAACTCTTCAGTCTTGACCATAGATCCATGGTCTTGACCCTTCTCTTGAAAACATGAACGTTTTCTGCGGCCCTGAGCACAGCATCATCTGTTATACAACCTAATAACTAATCATAATACTTTTGGGTTTTTAATGCAAGTGCAAATGGAACACCATTTTGAGGCATTGCACAGTACTGAAGGTAATAGCAGAAATGTCTCCAGTTGGTTTTAAATGTGACACCTTTAAGCATTTGGAAATAGTACCCAAGGATGATATATTCACAGATTTCTTTTGATATCTGCATGTTGTCAAACAAGAGATGTAGTCTTTAAATTTACTCAAATATTATCATTATTACGTAATCAGAAGATTCCAAGGCTGTGGCATCATTATATAGGATTTCCTTCATTGTTATAATATAACTTTTACTTTAAACAAAGTAATTAAAAACAAGTCTCTTGTGGCATTGAGCAAATACAAATTATGTTGGAAAAAATAAAAAGTAACGTCTTGGTTTCCACTGTATATGATGATTATAATTAAGTGAATAATTGATTTAAAATGCAACAATAACAAATAATAAACATTGCATCTTTTTAGTTGGCTACACAATGAACGACCTCATTTTTGAATGGCTGGATGTTGGGGCCGTGCAGGTCGCTGATGACTTGCAGCTGCCACAGTTTGTGCTAAAGAACGAACAGGGCCTGGGTTACTGCACAAAGCACTATAACACAGGTACTGCCCACAATGTTAGTCTGGAAGTGCATTCTACATTAGAATAACACAGTGAATGCATTTAGGTAAGTTTACCTGCATAGAGGTGAAGTTTCACTTGGAGCGGCAGATGGGCTACTACCTCATCCAGATGTACATCCCCAGTCTGCTCACAGTGATCCTGTCATGGGTCTCCTTCTGGATCAACATGGACGCCGCCCCCGCCCGAGTGGGACTGGGCATCACTACAGTGCTCACCATGACCACCCAGAGCTCGGGCTCCAGGGCTTCACTACCAAAGGTTACTTGGATTATTTTTGCGCACTACACAATAAGCTGTTGAGGAGACGCAGCCATCACACATTTTCCACTAAGTATAAAAATAAGGCCAGAGGAACATTGTAGTGTTTATCACAAATGTGTATAAGTATTATTTATGTAAGAAACTGACTTTTTTGCCTCCCATTTATCATTTAATAATGTTTCTCACGTTGTCATTTAGGTATCTTATGTGAAAGCCATAGATATATGGATGGCGGTGTGTCTACTGTTTGTGTTTGCTGCTCTGCTGGAATATGCTGCTGTTAACTTTGTATCACGACAACACAAGGAGTTCTTCAGACTGAGGAGGAAGCTGAAGGAGCATCGACAGAGATCTGTGAGTGCCACCCACTCTGCCCCTGGGGTAGCTGTCATTCACAGTGCCACTGACCTGTAATTAATTCAAGTATCACCTTGTTCCTCACTAGGTTTTCATTCTTTATTTTTCTACATAGTTTTAATATTGATACTGTTAGACAAAAATGCACTGTACTTTAAAACTGTTGTTTATTTTAATAGTTGATTACCTTTGTGCCCTTTTGTTTTGTAAAATGCAGAAAAAAACTACTTTATTGAGTTCATTAGAGTTTTATCATAAAACTATAGTCTCTTTCTCAGGGAAGTAAAAAAATAAAAATATGTCCAATAGTTCTGGCATGCGCCTCCTGTACTGGCGACCCCGCTCCCATCTCTGTGTGGAGTGAGAGACAAATGTCCAAAATTAACAATTGTAAACCGCTTTGAGACTCAGATCTGCAGTGAAAAGGCGGTATATAAATAAAAACTTACTTACTTTTATCATAAAACTATAGTCTCTTTCTCAGGGAAGTGACAGTAAGGCAAAAGGAAACAGCCTGTCAGGCAACAATACTCCCCATGGAAATCCCTCTCAGCAGTGCAGCGCGTGTGCCAGGGTATGCCATGCTTTTGGGCTCATCACTAATCTCGAGTGGAAAGTACAGAACTCCCTCATAATGTTTTATTTTTATTTAGGAAGAAGAACTGACACAGCAAGGTTTGCTCTACCAAAGTTATAGACTTGCACTGTCTGCAGCTCCAGCTGAAATGGATGCAACACCCGTCTTTGCCGATTTACCTCCTGGACTTGGTTTTTATGACATCCGCAGACGCTTTGTGGAGCGGGCTAAAAGGATTGATACCATCTCACGGGCACTATTCCCCATGAGCTTTCTAATGTTTAATGTCCTCTACTGGCTGACCTACAAAGTTCTACGTCATGAAGACATGCAAAGCCTTTTCTGAGGTTTCAGACAATGACAACCTCTCGCTCTGCAATAAAGATTCGCTACATTCAGATCTGTGGGCACCATGCTGTGCACAGAATGTAGGCTACATGATGACTGACTACATGTCCAGCACCAAGGGAATTGCAAGCCACGAAGAAGTCCATTGCTTTATTTAAATTTTTTATACTTTCGAGGAATTGCACTTTCTGACAGCACAGAACATTATGTCGTATCTTCTCAGTCAGCGCAATAAGCTAATAGACTGAAGCTATTTGTAGGTATTTTATTACCCCATCAACCTATGCATAGACCACAAATTGTATGTTTTTTTTAATATAAAATTTATAAATCAAAAGGTGACATTATGAAAAATGAAAAAAAAAGTGAATAATGTAAGTTTATATTTTAGTGTATTGAATTGCACCGATGTCAAATTCTCCTATTATTTACAGAAAAATGCATGCCCTGTTTAATAAAGCCTAACATTAAAAGACTTGTTGAAATCGACTTTCCAAACTGAATTTGTTTTCTTGGCCAGTTTGTGAGTATAGATTTATGGAATATCATAATTAGCATGTAAAAAACCTACTGTGTATTGGAACTGATCGGAACATTGACTGAATTGAAGGCAAAATTGTAACCTAAATACAAACTCGCCAAAAGGGGGCGCTGTTAGCATTCTTTGGGGTCACGGATATAGCGCAGCCAGTTGAAGGGGAAAAGTAATTTATGGATGGATTTATTTTCAAGTCCTAATGACACTGAAGGCGCAGGCAGCTGTCGAATACGCCTTGAATTTAGTCATAAAATATATTCAACCTATACTACGTGCTTAACAAAAAAGTTGTCAAATCAGAATATTTTCTTTTTAACTCTTATTTGATTGTGCTGAAGATGCACTCAGTTTAGATTGATCCTAAAAACAACATAAAATTAAAAAAGTATATTTAGATCACTTTGTTATAATGAGTGATTGAGATAATTTGCACACTGTAAGCTGTAGCCTACACCTCGGATACTTTGGCTGTCTATTTTAGGAGCTGGGGGAAAGTGCTGTCTAAAAAAACAGAGTATCCACACACACAGCCTGGAGACGTGGCAGAGCCTCCGGTCATATGATGAAGGAACCCCACCCCGGTGTTGCCCAGATTTATTTTATACCATCCTGCCACCTAACGACAGTGCAAATGATGACACACGCCAAAGCAAATGCATATGAATCTACCCTGAACAATATAAAAATAGAACACGTGAATTTAGAAGCAATGACCACCCAAAAAATAGTGCCATTTTTAGTCATTGAGTGCTGACGTTTACAGTGGCTCCAAATAGCTTCCGCTTTGCGCTGGTTGTGATTGGACTGCGCTGTTCATGCCACACTGGCTCGTCTACTTTTCAATGGAGGAACAGCCCAAAGAACGGGCACAAGACAAACTATATCAACAACACGGCGTGGAAAGACACCCCATTCATCACACCGCAGATTTAAAACATGTTCAGAGCCACATCCAGCGCCAGCATCAGGAAACGTACAAGAAGAAAACAGGTCAGGCCAATCCGGAGAAGTTAGCTAACGCGGGCTAGCCTTACTCAGCTAATGTCAATGAGCTTAGTAGCTAGCTGTTGCTAACCCGCTGGGCTCGCGCGTGTTAGCGTCTAAACTGCACGCGCCGCCTCTATTGTAGCGGTGAACGAGCGTTACCCGCATGCATGCAGCACTGTCAGGCATGATCGGGTGAAAGTGGGGGAACGCCTGGCTGACATTTTGGGGATAGGACTCATTCGTAGTGGTTTGACACATCGGGGATTGACCTTGCGTGCCACGGTTTCGCTACGCATTTTCTGCCGTAAATCTAAGCCGAATACATGTCAATATTGATTTGAAGCTAGTGTGTGCATGGGCAGATCCGTGCGAGGCCAGGTCTTGTGGAAATGCTGTCTTCATTTGTGGCATGTCTGTGTCCAGTCATGAAAACGAGACACCGGCTCCACTGGAATGTTCTGAGCTGCTGCCATTTCCTGTCGGCCATGTTACAGCATTACTCAAAGCTAGTGCTAATCGGGCTAGTTTGAATCGTTAGACAGCACTGTGTACAAATCACAGTTTGCAAATCGTCTTCACGTGTGGTCGACTGCATAGAGATGAGCTGTCGGCAAGGATTGGCTGTGTCGTAAGTAAACAAAGAGCGGAGCAGGTGACATCCGCGCAGGCAGGTTGGGGCTAGCTTTGACAGGCCTGTTGCATGTCCAGGTTAAGCCACGCAGCAGGTTGACAGTGATTGCCCCGTAACCGCAAACATTTACACTGCCACGATCTTGGATGCATGAAACGTAATTTCTTTCCCCCACAAATCTGGGGTGCAGCTATATGGAGCGTGCTACGTTACATCCATTTACGCTCCCCAGTTGGCTCATTTATTTCTGTGACTCAAATTGCAGACGTGTGATATGTTAGAAGGGCAATAATGGTCACCTAGACTGAGTTATGAGTTGCATCAAACAGTACAGAACGACACTGTGTTTAGCGTCTTATGTGCACAAAATGTATTTTAACTTATGTTTTGTCTTTTCAGGATATACCAAATTAAACTGCAACGAGGAAAGAGGGAAGAAACTTAACTCGTCTGATATCGTTGGCATGTCACATCCCACCAATGGAAATGGTAGCAGACTTACGAGTTCTATAACTGCGAAGAAATCATCACAGAGGCTGTGTATGACTGTCCCCAAAACAAGCAGCAAATCTTTGGATCTGAAAAGAAATATGGACCTGAAAAATGAAAAGGCCTTGGATTTAAATCATCATGATGAGCAATTTATGGATAAAAAGGACACTGTGTTGCTTCAAAATGGCATTGTAAACTGTGGCATTCTTACCAATGGTTATTCTAGCAAGGACAATGATGGCAGTGGCTCTGAAGGTGGATATACAACTCCCAAGAAGCGGAAGGCCAGATGTAACAATGTCAAAAGCACTGACAATGTGACGCGTGAAAAGGACATGCAACAGGGCAATAGCATGCTGGAGCCTGGCATTTTTAGTCTGGAGCCAAATGAAAAGTTAGCTGTATCTCGGATGGAAACATCGAAAGGTCCTGCCACTGCTCGGAGGGCTGCTTCCTTGGACCCATTAGTGGGAGAATCACAGAGGAAAAACTTTGATAGTAAATCATTTGGACCCTTTAGTAAAAAGACTGAGGAAAGGCATAAAGCGAAACTGTCCTCCCCTTCAAAAGAGGATTCTTGGACTTTGTTTAAGCCTCCTCCAGTATTTCCTGTGGACAATAGTAGTGCAAAAATTGTTCCTAAGATAAGTTATGCAAGTAAAGTAAAGGAAAACCTCAACAAAGTAGCTCAGTCTGCAGGAGAGGCACTGCCACCACCTGTTCGACTGTCCCAGGTCCCCATGTCTGCTATGAAAACTATCACCTCAGCTAGCTTTACTAATGGTCCTGTTTCTGGGAATGGTTGCCCTTCCGTGGGAACCTTCTTTTCTTCTGCTGCTAGTAGTATTCCATCAGTCCCATCTGTCCCAGGTGGTGAGAATGTAGCATCTTCGCTCGAAAGTAATTGTAGCTCTTCAAGTAGTCCTATAGATGGAGAGGCATATGATATTAGAAAATGTACTCTATTAATTTACCCTTTAAATATGCAACCTGTGCTCCCCAGTGCTCGCCACCTTGACCCCCCAGCTGCTCAGACAAATCAGAAAGCCTTAGGAGACATCTTCCAAAATCAGTGGGGGCTCTCCTTTATCAATGATCCCAATTTGAGTCCAGATGGAGGAACTGGACGGGGGTCTGCAGCAGCTGACTCCTCTGTGTCTGATACTCAAAGCCAGTGTCAGCCTTGCTTTGAGAACAACTCTGTCCTCTCTAATGCAGCTGACAACTCAGAAAAAAGGACTCCATCTTCTTCATCTCCTGTCGGTGTCAATAACGAAGAGGGCAAACGGCAGAAATGTGGCCAGGACAAGACAAAAGAGGAGGGCAAGGCTGCATGTTCTGTTGTAGGCCTGGGTATCGATACCGGTGCTAAATGTGCCCAGGGCTCTGTGACCACTGTGCTGTTTGGCTCTGTTAAAGAGTCCACTCACTTTAAAGACAATGGCAGGCGGTGTAGCTGGGGCGCCTTTGACATAAAAGCTGCTGTCATGTATCACACTAAAGGTACATACAAATCAAATATTGCTTCAAAGTATTTAATCTAATTGACAGAATGCACAGACAAATATATTGTCCTTATTCTAATTCTGTCTTGTTTTTTTCAACAGAAATGGAAATTATTTTTAACTTGCAAAAACAAGGTAAGTTGCTTAGTCTTAGTCTTTCAGTCTTTGATTCTAAAATGCATCTAATGTAGCTGTTCATCATTGTGTTTCAGATCCAAAAAGAGTAGTGGTTTATAGTGGCTCCGAGGATGGATCAGACTAGTGAGGTAGTCCTTCTGCGGCCTATCTCCTTTTGGAATCCCTTTGGATAGCTAAAGTAACAACTGTGAAATGATTGATAGTTCAGCATGAAAGATTTCCTTTGGCCCCAAGAGAAGAGCAACAGACTTGCAAAGAAATTACTTGCATTTACACAGACTTTGGAAGGATGTGCTAGAGGAGTCGACCTGTGCCTCTCCAACTTGATAAATGGACATGAGTTTATGTTTATTTTGTGGCTCTGTTCGAATCGCGTCCATCTACAAGGTGTCTGACTGCACCTCCCAAGCCTTTATTCTGTTCAACTACAGCAGTCACCAGTGCTATTATGGGATGCCTCAGCTATTCTTTCTTCAGCACATTCTTTTGAGTTCAGTGTGGATATGTTGTATGTGGACCACTGAGTGCAAGCTTGAAAACCTGAACACACAAAACAATGCCTCAAAGTGGTGGCATTATCATCTTCCTGCTAAAACTGTAAGCCCAGGGGTGCTCATGAGTCCACCTTCAGGAAGAAGAGACTGTCTTAACGTATTAGAGGGAAAACATAACTTTTCTTTTCTATCCTTTTTATTACAATTGTCCACTGTCTTGAAGTATGCCCAACAGTATACAAACCAGTGTGAGACTGAAAGGAAAGGAATGGCCCTCCCTCCCTTTAATTAAAAAAAACAGCAATCCTTGTGATTTTAAGCTTTCACACATTTCATAGTTCATATGTTAGCATTTCTTGACATCACTTATGTTGAGGCATAATGGGTCCTCTGCACTGTAATTCTGTTGCAGTATGACCATATAGATTTTTATGAAAAAAAAAAAAAAAATCATGCTTTTTGCAGGTTTTATATTCTGATTGGGACATGATTTCTAGCTGTTTTTGTTGTTGCATGTGTACTTCCTAATCAGGGGGATTCATTACCTTATTTAGGTCACAGACACAAAAAATGATTGCAATACTGTTGGCCAGCTATTACACGCCACTTTGATAAGTGTATTGATATGTGAAGTAGAGGTCTGTTTTATTTACTGTGGAACCTTTGATCTGTGTGCAATAACATTGTAATCTGCGTTCATGACATGTGATCCCCACTCGCAACTCCGGCGGTTCAAACTCAAAATCACTGCTTTGTGTGGCTCTAAAGAGTTGGATCTGTTGTCCCTTCTCTCATCCATTATAGTCTTGGTAACAAAGAGACTATCTGAGTTCAATTTCTGCAACATATTTGTGGATTAATAGCACTTTATCTAAACTGATTTACTGCATTTACCTTTTAATTACTAGAGTTATATGTACTCAATACTCCTCGACAGAATGGCTTTGGGCTGTTAAGTTTCTGAGAATATAAAATACAGAATCATTATGTAACTCAGGTAGTGTTGATAAGCCATGACTATGTGAAATATTTCTTTGTATAGTGGCCCGTCTACGGATAACCATCTCAATTTGGAAATCGCTCTTTGGAGCTTTATTTAAGAAACCAAATAATATGTGTATTTTCCCTGTTCAAAGCACATGAGCTGTTTATATGATTTAGATTTTCTTGTATAATGGTGTAATTCTGTTCATAATCTAATGTTATTACTTTCTTCAATAGGGCACAGTTATTTTGTTCGCTTTGACCCTAGTGCAAAGGCCAACCAGTGACCACATAACTTAGGGCAACAGTGGTAATTGAGCATTGTGCATCTTTCACCGGCAATTATGTGAAACTCTTCCCCAAATGCTGAAAATTCTCAAACAAATGTCGTACTGTTGGACTGGGAAGCATCCGTACACATCTATTGGGTGGAACAGTGAATTTATTGGAGTCTTACTATGAATACTATTTTATTTTTTACATGTTTTTAACTGGGAAAAGTCTTGGGAAGGGAAATCAGAGAATCGTCCACACACCCCTAACCTGGAGACTTCTCTATATTAGCACTTATGGAAAAAACAAAAAAATAACGAAAAAAAAACATTGGAAATATGCATTTATGAAGATACAACTGTTAAGTGTTGTAGCCTGCAAACCAAAAAGGCTGTTTTGAAGTGCGTGGGAGGGAGTTCTAGTGTGTGTCGAGTTTGTAGATGTATGCATCAGAATGAGACTGACCTGTACGTGCGCCCCCCCCCCCCCCCCCCCCCCCCCCCGTCCCCTCTCCCCCCTCCCCCTCCCCCTGCTTTGTGTGCAATCGCCTCCATGATGCTGGTGCAGGCTGTGCTGGAAATGACAAGTGTTTTTTTTTGTGTGTAATATTACTACATTTTCTGCTGCTCAGATTGTAAAATATTTGATCTGAAATAGTCTGGGCCATTTCCAGCTCAGCCGATGTTTTCTGAGCGATGCGTAGCAAGTTCTTCCTATTATATGCAAGTCTTTGGTATCATTAAGCTCATTATGCCCTCTTTTGTTGTTACATGTTACGGTGCCTGTGTGAAAAGTTGATATAAATTTAACAGCAATTTTGATTGTTTGAAATCTGCTTCCTGCATATATCCGTGCCATTCTGTTTGTTTAACTTTTTTTTTTGTTGGGCAACTTTGTTTTGTTATTTTACATTGAAAAGGACGCATTGAGACTTGTTTGGCTTTGTGTATTTAGACTGTTTTACCTAAAGCCAAAATCAGTGATGATGGACTTTGTGCAGGTCCTCTTTGAAAAGTCTATTCATTAGCACATGAAATTATCTTTTAACAGATTAATAATTAACTGTATGTTTAAAAAAAAAAAAAAAAAAAATCTTTGACTTCTTAACCTAATTGATCCATAGATGCACAAGTAGGTTGAAACTAAAAGAAAGGAGTCACACTTGAGTTTTTGATTATTGTAATATTTTAGGCGTATTTTGTTTCACTAAGTTGTATTTTTGCCAACAGATTCTTTACCAATCACTACATCACATTTGGGTGCTTGAGGACATATGAAAAATGATTATTTCTGAAGTTTTATTTATCTGCCTTGTTAAAAAAGGAACGTTGTATGCACAGACTCACCAAAGGAACACGTAAACATTTCTGCTCTCAGACGTACAAACTCCAAACGTGTCAAAATATCTGAACCTGTTTCCTTTGGTTTTGTCTGAGCACAGGTCACAACTGTAGCAGCCTGATGTGCGCCCAGAAACCGGCGTCTTCAGTAATCAATTGTCTGTAACCACTTTGGTGGTTGTGCATCTCAAAATGTCCAATATAATTGTGTATATATATATATATATATTATATATATATATATATACAAAATCATCAATGTCCTAGTTTTAAAGTTGGTTTGACGAGGGCAACTTCACTACTGACAGTCATTCAAAGAGATACTTGTTTTTCTCATCTCAGTGATTGTCCTGCAGCACAAAATATAGTTTTGTTCTCGTATGTCTTACAGATTGACATTCATGTTTTGTCTTTGTTATATTTAAATTTTGTTTTGAATTTTAACAGATTTGTCCTGTTTTTGATTTTTCTTAAAGCATGGTAATAATAACCCTCAACTCCAAACAATGTAATAGATTCAACACAAGAAAAACCTCCAGTGTTCACAATTTAGTTTCCATTAAAATGTCAAATTTTCATGAAAAAGTGTTTTGTCGTCATTTGTATGGAAGGAGCAGTTTGTGTTGTGCTGTTGGTGTTACCTGGTTTTCTATCCAAACATTTGTCAGTGTCTGCGGTAGATTTCATACAGTTGGAGAGCAAAATAGCTGTATCTCAACAAAGGAACTGGCAACCCAAATCAGAGACGCATGTGATGTTAATTCTGCTCTGATCAGATACGCAGCTTAAAAATCCAAATATTCTGAAAATTGTTCATATTAAAATCTTAACATTTTACCAGCACAGAGCCAGCAGCTATGCGTCAGTGGTTCCCAAACATGTATGTCTCAAGGATTCCTAAAACCAGAGAATCCCTGAACTTGTACGAGGAAAAGTCTGACATTTCCTTAATTCATTTGGCGGTAAAGGAACCAAAGATTTAGATTTGAAATTTTTTCTGTATGTTGAAAAACACATGTGGTTTCTGAGCAATTATTTGATGCTGATTTGTCCGCAATCAAATTCATTAAATTCAACCAGGAACCCCTAAAATACAACACATTTTCAGTAGCTCAGTTGGTAGAGCATATTATGTATTATGTATATTCATATATTGTATAAAAGGATAAACCGTAAAATACATTGAAACGTTTTTATAGGATATTATGTTTATATCATTATATTTATTCTTTATTATTATGAACAATATCACTATCATTTTCTGGGGTCAGTCTGACGCTCGGACCTGATCATAGACGTGGTGCTGTGCTGCCCCCTTGTGGCTCAGTTACGGCCCCACAACTCTGGAGAGCTGCAGCGTCTGGCATCATCGGCTGCTTTCTGTACAAATCCACTACAATGATGACACAGAAAAGTTCAACAATCAACTCTGGAGGTAGAAAATTCTCTGTTGAAATAAACAGGTTTAATGTCATAATGTGGAAGAGAAAAGCAAAGGAACCATTTTCAGCCAAAATGTTACTTCGTTTAGTTATCCCTCATATATATATAATATATTATATCACCAAGGCAAGTATTAGGGGTTTTAGGGGTTAGGACTCTGGAATTACTTGGCGATATCACAACGTGCGTTCTTTATAACCCAAAATAAGAAGGTAACACGACTGCTGTTTTTTATTTTAAGTATAAACATATAATAAATGAATCCTGTGTAATGGATCCTATTGTAGCAGCTGCTCAGTGTTGTGCACCTCTCAGCTGTACTCATGTGTACTTACTGGATTTGCGATGTACTACTAAGGTCTAACCTGTGCTCACCGGATAGATAAAAGCAGCAACATCTACAAAAGTATTATGCATTATTAGATAACTGATATGAATGTGTAGGTGTAAAGTGCTGCACAAATACCCAAACAGTACCGGGGTAATGCACACGTTACATCATCTGTCTGCATGTGATGAGCCCTGGTTTCCAAAAATCTATATTTCTTAATGTAATCTCAAGGAGTGAAGTTAGGTTAGTTAGTTAGTTA